TAAGCATGGTAACTATTTAATCAAAATGTATCTCTTCATCAACCCCAAAAAAAATTCATTACGTCTTCTCAGAATTTTGCTGAATAAAGTATATGATCTGACTATACTTGTAAAATTTTTGATATTTGCTTATACAGGGTGTCTGAAAAAAATTAATGACGGAGTGAATTGATTTTGCAAAACTGAATACTTAGAAATCTTGACGTTTTGAAGTTATTGTAAGCATGGTAACTGTTTAATCAAAATGTATCTCTTTATCAACCCCAAAAAAAATTCATTACGTCTTCTCACAATTTTACTGAATAAAGTATATGATCTGACTACACTTGTAACTAATCATTGCATTCAAATTTTTTAACTTGCTTATACAGGGTGACTCAAAAAAAGAAATGAATCAGTCACTTTATTTTAGTGAATAAATCAAGAATTGCTAAACTGAATATTTTGAAATCTTGCAGATGGTTAAAATTGATTGTGAGCATGGTAAATTGTTAATGAAAATATATCTGTTTATTCCCCCGAAAAAATTCATGACGTCATCTACAATTTTTGCCAAAAAAGTTTAACTCAAAATGTGCAAAATATGATGATTTTTAACATAAGCAACTGTGGCCTGTGGTTTAGTGGAGGTGGAGTGTGCAGTGCAATTAGAAGTTCCGGTAACAGATCCCGGCACTTCCAACTTTTTTCGCCCATCAAATCAAGAACAGCACTTCCGATTTTCGCAACAACAATGTTATAATATTTATTTATTTGTTATTGTGTGTTCGTGAATAAGCACCATAAATAGCAAATGTTGAAATTTTTTTTTGTGATCGGAAGAATATCTCTTAATCATTTCATATATTGTCAATACATGATTAACTTCGACTGTTAATGTTTATACATCGAGAGAAGCAGAGAAAAAGTACATATGCATTTGCTTCAGTTACGCCACTGACCGTGTCATTTCTTTATCGCACGTTGAGACATAGTTTATATAAACAAACTCCCAGCCATAGCAAAAAGCGGAAGTTGGAAACGACGAGCGGCGCGGGGGGAATCACTTGTTTGGGTGGCGAGACGAAACAGTTGCGATTGCGAAATGCGAAGCCAATTCGAAAAAAACTGTTGAAGAGTGAGTGTCATTGAGGATATATATCTCCAAATTTTAAAAATTGGACCAAGTTACAATAATTGTTGCCAGGTAAGTGCAGATATTTTGGATTTGCATATACGGGGTGATTCAAGAAAATAAATGAAAGCGTAAATTTATTTTACTGATTTACTAAGGAACTACAAAACCGAATGCTTCGAAATCTTGAAGATATTTTAAAATTATCATAAGCATGGTAAATTTTTGATCAAAACGTATTTGGTCGTCCCCCCTAAAAAATTTATGACGTCACCACAAAATTTTGCTGAATAAATCCTATCTAAAATGTACAAAATATGGTGAGTCTCTTCTTGTAATTTGTCATTCCATTCAAATTTTTTCGATTTGCATATACAGGGTGACTCAAAAAAATTAATGAATGCGTAAAATTATTTTATTGATTTAATCAGGAACTACAAAACCGAATGCTTTGAAATCTTGCAGATGTTTTAAGGTTATAAAGAGCATAATAAATTTTTAGTCAAAATATATTTGGTTATCTTCTACAAAAAACTGATGACGTCAGCTCAAAAGTTTGCCGAATAAATCGTATCTAAAATGTACAAAATATGATGAGTCTGTACTTGTGATTTATCATTCCATTCATATTTTTGGATTTGCATATGCAGGGTGACTCAAAAAAATTAATGGAGGCGTGAATTTATTTTATCGATTTAATCAGGAATTACAAAACCGAATGCTTTGAAATCTTGGGAATATTCTAAAGTTATTATAAGCATGGTAAACTTTTGTTCAAAATGTATTTGTTCATCCCTCCTAAAAAAATTGATGACGTCACCCTTAAATTTTGCTGAATAAATCCTATCTAAAATGCAAAAAATATGATGAGTTTGTACTTGTGATTTATCATTCCATTCATATTTTTTAGATTTTCTTAAGAGGTGGTTCAAAAAAATTAATGAAGTCAATTTATTTTATTGATTAACTTAAAGGCAACACTTATTATTAGTATTACACCCCAACCAACCCAATTTGGTAGACAAAAAATTTGTTAAAGGAAAAACTCGGTTGAAACATAAGGGTCGCATGCTTATTTACATCGACTTTAACATTACAGACCTGCATTTGTTTTATGCGTTCACTTGGTTCCGCGAATGTGAAATAGACATGTTTATAATCAACCAATTGTGAATTTCACCGTCAAGAATTAAAATAAAACCCAATGTTTTATATAATAAGCGGAAGTCGAAGCAATAAAACCGATGGTCGTTTTGTTTACAGTTTCTCTGTTTGACTCTCAAGTATGCTGTTACGCCTGTCATCTTAAATTAAGAATGTTTATACATACACGATTTTCAGCTGCCTGGGATACGTATACGTGAGTAAATTGTTTCGTTATTTTATTGATTATTACAAATCAATATTCAAAACGACCCGATTCATTTTCCTGAAAATTTGAGAATACAATAATTTTATTCTTAGTATTACACTACATCTATCCCAAACTGATATACGTGTCCTTGCAAAAATGTTGATGACGTCATCGCAATTTTTTTTTTAATTCCCACTACAAAAATGTAATGAGAAAAAACACAATAGGCATGCAGTCGTCAAGTTTCCGACAGCGAGGGAAGTACTGTCTAAACTCTTTAGACCAATTTTTTAGTTCTGTATCACAAATTTTGAATTTGTTTTGAAGCGCGGTTTCTACTTTTTGGATAATTTCCTGTTTTGTGTTCTGGAGAGGGCTGATGGATTCTTTTAACGCTCTAAGAACAGCACGCAGTTCTAGTTCCAGTTCCATTTTAGAAAAGCCATCGTTTAAGGCGTTTTCAAAATTCGATACATTCGTGCTTATGGAAACTGCGGAAAACTAACAAAACTAATAAAATATATTAGTGGTTTTTGACAGAATTAGGTTTTGAAAACACGATAAGTATGAAATTTTAAAAGACAGACTTACGTCGTCGGTGGTATTATTATCCAAGTACACATTTTTAACATAACCAGTATTAAAAATAAAGTTAATGCTTTTGAAACAATATTATACGGTGCTAAATTTAATACTAAACTATTTAATAGGACTGCTTGTGAATGTAATAGGTACTTGTTTGGTGACCTGTGTAAGTGACCCTTAACCCGACTCCTGATAACAAAATATGTTAATGCAGAAACGGAAAATCCAAAAGCTTTATTACATGATATACTTAAATATTAAACAAGATGCGTAATGACATGTGTATATACAGGATATTGCAAAAGTCTGGTAGCGGAAACTTATTTTTATTCACCGTAAATCACTAATAAAAGTTTCGACTGAAGCAGTCTGATTTAGAGTTACATTTTAAAATTATTTGGCCCACCCGACAAATAACTACTTTCATGTTTTTCGACGTTTCATAATCCCTTGAGTATAAAGCTGTTTTTATTTTGAGACGACGTCATCAATTTTTTGCCAGGGATAAAGAGATAAATTTCGATTAACGACTCGATGATTACAATAACCCGAAAATGTAACATTGCGTTTTTGAAGTTTCAAAATTAAGTAGTAAAATAAGAAACCATATTTCAGAGAAGATTTATTCAGCAAAATTGTGAGACCACGATTTACCATGATTATGATAACTTCAAAACATTTACATTCGATTTTGTCATTTCAAAGTTAAAATGCAAAATATTGTTATACAATTAGGTTTTTTTCCATAAGTACAGAAGTATCTTATTTTAAAATAAGATTTCAGCATAACAAAATTTTTTAAAAGTCTTCAAGAACTAAAGGAAGTTTCAGACGAATTTATATCTACTAATCGACGATTTCGATATAAGAATAATACAAGATTTCAGTGGGAAAAGAGTTCTAGCGTAGATGTTTCAAACAACAAATAACACCAAAATTTTCATTAATTTCGATAAAAGCGTTTACAATAAATCGGTTTACTCAATTCTTCAAATGAATACTTGGAAAGTAATGCTCTTGCAGTGAATCATTTTACAGCTGGTGTTAAGTACCTATATAGAATTTGAAAATGATGTATTATCTAGAAAATAGTCATCAATCTAGAACACGTGAAAGTGTAAATCAATCAGCAAAGGATAATAGGCTTATCGTCTTTTAGTCGCCGACTTTGTTGATACGATGTAAACCCCATATCAGTTTGAAATGGTAATCCTGGCGCCCGTAGGATTAATTTTAAATCCTCCAATAATTTCATCATCAAAAGCAACTCGGCTATATGTATGTCAAAACGTAAATTATTTTCTAGGGAAAAATAAACCTTATTGTTCAGAGACAGAAAATTAAAAAACATTTTTGATCAAAAGACATTAAATAATACTCGTAATAGGTAGCGATTTCCGATTGATTATATATATAATTACAGCATTGTTTTGAGAAAGGAGATTTAGTTTCGACCAGACAAATTATCCAACTTTCGAATTTGTCGAAGTGTGGCTAATGTGCCACCTGAACCAGGGCTGAAAGAATGAGCAGAGCAATTTTCGAAATATGTGTCATAATTTTAATCAGAGTTCGGTGTAAAAAATTTTCGTCGTTTACTGTGAATTTTATGTTTGATTTTGGTGCGGAAAGAATTTTTCTATTAAAGAAAAAAGTTTGATATACAACATAGATTCACATTTCACAAATGAAAGGTCGAAGAAACTTTAAATTGAACAGTCACCAAAATGAACAAGTACAATACCGTAGGCTTATTTACGAATAGAGAGGATTTTATGAAATTTGCATATCTGTTATTTTTTTTTTGCATATACGTAAGTATTGATTTTTAATATGTGCACGAATCATGATAATTAGAAATGAACATAGCTATAAAAAAATTGCATATTTGTATATATGTATTTGCCTTCTGCTGCATATTTCACGTAACGGGTGCATATTTTGCATTTTTATAAATTTTTGTGATACATAAAAAAATATATTCTCATTCTATCAGCATTTATCAGGTTTGGGTTTTATGGTAGTTTGGAGAAACCACCGGGTGTTAAGCCGTGTTAAGGTCAGCAGAAAAAACATAAATTGGCATTTTATACCAGTCAGAGCAGCTCACTTTGGAGGTATTTGGGAATCAGGGGTTAAATCAGTTAAATTTCACCTTAAAAGAGTTATAGGCAATGCAATGCTGACGTATGAGGAGCTGTATACCCTACTGGTAGGTATAGAGGCTTGTCTAAACTCGCAGCCGTTATGTCCATTGACGGAAGATCCGAACGATGACGAAGTCCTGACGCCAGGACATTTTTTAATTGGCAGTTCATTAACAGCTGTACCGGAACCTGATATGAGCGACTGGAAAACGGGACGCTTATCCCGATGGCAACATGTTGAGCAAATTCGTCAACACTTTTGGCGTCGATGGTCCCGGGAATATTTGGGCCATTTACTACTTAGGGCGAAGTGGCATCGGACTACGTCCCAAATACAGCCGGGAATGTTGGTCTTCCTGAGGGATCCCAGTCCACCCCTAAATTGGTGACGAGGACGAGTGGTAGAACTCCATCCAGGCCCTGATGGATGCACCAGGGTCGTATGAATACGTGTCGGGGACCGCATAATGAAGAAAGCCGTCAGGACATTGGAGGTACTACTGGTGGATTGAACAAGCCGTTCAATGCGGGCCGGGATGTTCGGGCCAATCGAGAAGCCCGCCGTGCAACCAGCGACGGAAGGGAGGGGGACACAACCACCCTCTTCCACTTCAATTTGTAAATAGTTTTTAGTTCTGTACGAGTTAGGCTAGGGAAATAAACAATAAAAGTACAGACGGGTTTTGTAGTTGCTCTGAACCACATTAGTCCAGAGTGTCACCCATTGTGACCTACAAGTAACCAGGGCCATCCATTGTGGCTTACAAGTTGGTCACCCATTGTGACCTGGTCCTTCGAACCGACGACGCGATTCACCAGGTTGAATTGCATCACAAGAACAGAACAACATTTTTTTTTGGGCCTACGAACCGCCACATCATCATTTTTTGGTTTTCCGAGCCGAAGTCCACAACAAATATAGAAACACTATAAACATCAAAGAATTGTTTATCTGTCATAAAATGTAATGTCGCTAAATTTACATAAGTATGTATATACATATGTTTAGACAAGCTCTATAAAATAATGCCAATTCTGGATTTGTTATGCATTACGGAAATTAGAACATTCTGTGGAGTCAAGTGGGTACTCGGTAAAAAAATATATGCGGTGTTTTCGTATTTGCTACATTATTATTAGAGAATTATACCACTTCATAAAAAGAGTTGATAATTTTGAAAAATTTACACTCGTCACTACTAATTACGTACTAAAACATCATCATATGAAACCTTTAAGATTCCTTAAATAGTAAAAACTTGCTCCACGTTCTTCAGACCTAGCTCCTTTACCCAAGAAGATAGTTCTTTTAGTGGTACTCAGATAAAAATGTGGTGAAATGTAGAACAGGATCTTCCAAATGAAAATCTAACCTCCGATTAGTTCATTCGTTGGAATTAAGTATCTCATCTTCATAATTGCGACCACATATATTGACCCTAATTGAATCATGATGGACAAAACAAGTATTCGTAAGTCTATACTACTAAATAGATTTGTGTCAAGATTAAAACGTGAACCTTGAATTGGTGATAAAATCTTTTACGATCCTTTTATCTAATCTATGACTTAAGAATTTGTGAAAACAGTAATAGACTGAATGAGAAGTGATATGGAAAATTTAACAATAATTTATGTCCATATTTTATTCTTGGGTACGGTTTAGATAATTTTGAAATATTCTTCCTTTCTCATCGACCCGAGTATTCGTAATCCTCAACTGCAGTACATCTTTACTCTATTTTAATGCACCCATTGTAACCTACGATCTATCCTTATATCTGTAGATATTAGGCGACTTAATTTCTACAACAATGAATGGCCGTTTAAATAAAGAACCCATTTTCTTACCTCCTTCAATCCTTAATAAAACTTGATCTCCCACTTTATAATCCACGATTACAGTTTTCCTATAATAATTTCTTTCTCTCTTATACTTCGCATTTAACAAAAACTAGCTCGAACGACGTGTACGGTGTTGCCGTATGAACAGTATTATTATTATAAGCAAAACACCAGAATGGTATTCAAGAGCTTCATGTGTCAGGATGTTTAGCTGTCTGTACTCTAAGACAACCCCCTAAACATTTATGAGAATTTTCGAGAGCTCCAAGTGTATTCTGATGATATACGGACGCTAGAACGTAATTTTTTGGCTTTTAAAATTTTACAAATTTCTTCTAAACCCAGAATACCGTACCGTACCACGAAGGTACTAATAAACGAGTCAGCTTCAGTCACTGCCTCTTTGTTGGGATTGGGATAAACTTCTATAAATTTACTTAATTCATATTGCAGCGTCAGAATGTATCGATAACAGATCAAAATAAACGATGTAATCAAACCAAACGTTTTGGAGTACTGTTTATATCAACTTTGTCTTTCAGCTCGCATTCCTACTAACAAATTGTAAATAGTGCATTTAGGACTCTATAGGATCATTAAACCTTTATTCAATACCCTCACAAAGTCTAAATAAGAATATTGCTGTGTGATCTGGAGACCATACTTTCAGATATACAGAAATCTCCTGGAATCTGTATTATGTAGATTTTCTAAATTTGTTTACTTTAAATTATATGAATGCTACCCTCCACGCCACTGTCAGTGCATCATCATCATTGAACTATATTTAAAAACTTATACAAGGTAAAGTTTTGTGTTGATCCTTACTTAATGAACTTAATTAATTTATTTTTGCTAACGACCAATCGAAGTGTGAATTTAGTACATTTAAGCCATTTGTGTTCCTTCTTTTGTATGCCTACTGGTTTTTCAGGGTTTATTTTTGTCTCTGGTCGAAAACAAACCTCTTCATATTATGAGTGATACTAGATTTATTCCAAGTCTGGAACACGTGAACACTGAATCTATACTTATATAATAAAGCTGAAGCTTTTGTTTATTTGAACACGTTAATCTCAGAAACTACTGGTTCAAATTCAAAAAATCTTTTTGTGTTGGATAGTCTATGTATCATATCTACATATAGGCTATATAATATCACGCTACGATCATTAGGAGCGAAGTAGCAATGAAAAATTCGGAAAAACGGGAAAATTATTCCTCCTTTGACAGCTTCCGTTGCTGACGCTGCTTAAACGGTTAAAGTTACGTAAAAATCATGTATGACGAAATTGTTCCCCTCTAAAAGTTCTAAGGAAAAGTCTGCGACAGCATATGTCTATCTTTTAAGGTCAAGTCAGTATAACCTTTTTTATGGTAATGAAATTTGTTCTTAAATAATAATGCATTATGTATAAAATTCTCGCGTCACAGTGTTTGTAACCGAACTTCTCCGAAATGGGTTGACCGATTTGTATGAAATTTTTTATGTATATTCGGTAGGTCTGAGAATAGGTTTTAAACTATTTTTTAAACCCCTAAGTGATAAGGGTGGCCCACCCAAGAAAAATTTTTGTCTATTTTTTGGACAAAATTTTTTATTTTTATTTTTTTAAGAATTGGCATCAAAAAATACACATAACCCTAAATTTTCACCTTTCTACCACCAACCTCCATTTTTTAATCGTCTATATAATAAAAATCAATTGCTGTTCCGTTAGTCTCGCTAAGACTCAAAAACAGCTTGATCGATTTGAAGAATTTTTTATATTACGGGGATGGTTTATAAATAAACAAAATAAGGAAAACTTAAAAGAACAGTTAAAAAATAAAAAAATTCTAAAAATTTTGTATGGGAATCGCCACTTCGAATTAATTTCAATAGTTGGCGTTTCTGACGGACCTGTCGTCTAACTGACGTGTCATACAAAACTAATTCTTCCGTGCAATTGTGAAAAGTATATTGCATTTCAAATCGTTCTTTGTTTTTTCGTAAAAAAAAAACGTTGTTTATTTTAAGAAAACTCTTGGTTAAAGTGAATTTAATTACACATTGCGAAAGTTTCTTATTAATTTTGATCTGCTATTCTATTTACCTATATTCACTTTGTTGGTTTCGACAAAACCTCAAACTTTACCGTTATTCGAGGATTTAATTTGAAGTTTTCAATATTTTAAAATTCTCAAGACAAAATGTACAGATTTGACTGACTGTGAAAATAATTCTGTGTCGTTTTATGAAGTTCATTAAAATGCCGAGAAGACGACAACCTCACATAGGTCCACGAAGTCAATCAAATGTGCGACGAGCTACCTCAGGTGCAAACCGCAATGATTTATTTCATGGGTAATTCGGATATGGAAGTTGATCAGCGTTGTGCTCATAATCAACATAATCAAACATTGAGACATTGGGTGGTATGAATAAAACTGAGTAGAAACTAATATTCGAAGTACGAAGTACCTACTTCATTATTACTCTTATATACCTGAGCATCTACTCTATGTACTGAGTACCTACTTGGAAACATTGTATCTCCCCGGACACAAATTGAACATCTACCTACGCGTTTTGTGAGCATTTAATCTAAAAATGAGCATCGGTGGTGGCAAATGACTGAGCCGTCTGTAAAGCAGCTTAGAAAACGAATAGGATCGTTGTAAGAGTGAATTTTGACTAAACATGGCGACTTTCATGAACGTGGAACGTCGTCAAAAGGTGCATTCAGTTTGAAAAACACATTAGGAGCAGGAATATCGAAAACTTTTCAGGTAATTAACTTTTATTTATGCATAAATTGTGCAGTGCATTTTTTATAACACTGGCCATAGAGATTCCCATCTCAAGGTGTCTACCCCATACTAACTTATATTTTGGTGACTCGATTTTTGCTTTGATGGTTGAACACTGTCACTGTTTTCCGTTTTTGTTGTATCGAGATGCTACTTGAGCATCAACTCTTACCTACTGAAGTATTGGCATCATCTAGAAAAACTAGAAATATTTTGATTTGATATTCGAGTAGACGGTACTTCGTATTTCGAGTATGAGCATCTACTGAGTTTTATTTATATCAACCATTGTCAAAAAATTGATCGAACGTCGTTTCGACAGAACTTCCTTCGCACCAAAAGTATAATGAAACAAATTCAGCATTTTCGAGTTGACTCTTTTCTTCACACAATTTTGTGATGACCTAATCAACATTTACGATTAACACGTATACCACCTTGGATTGGTGCAGTGTAATACTAAAAATAACTGTATTGTATTCCCAAAATTATCTGCGAAAATCGAGTGAGCCGTTCCACCAATTTTTTGGGGGCAATAAATAAATATTCTTAACAATTTACCATGCTTACAATAACTTTAAAACGTCTGCAAGATCTCAAAGTAATCATTTTTGCAACTCTTGAGTTATTCACTAAAATAAATTGACTGATCCATATATTTTTTTGAGTCACTGTAAAAGCAAATCTAAAAAATATGAATGCAATGATAAATTATGACAATATACTGATGATATTTTCCACATTTTAGATAGGATTTATTCGGCAAAATCTTTAGATGACGTCTTCAAGTTTTTGGGCTCGATAAACAGATATATTTTGATTGAAAACCTACCATGTCAAACAGTAACTTCAAAACCTCTGCAATATTTCAAAATTCAGTTTTGGAATTCTTGATTCAATCAATAAAATAAATTGACTCAGTGATTAATTTTTTTGAGACACCCCCTATAAGCAAAACTAAAAAATATGAATGGAATGATAAATCACAAGTATAGTGTCATCCTATTTTAGATAGGATTCATTTGGCAAAATTTTGGGCTGGCGTCATCAATTTTTTGGAGGGGATAAGTAAATATATTTTGAATAAAAATTTATTATGCTTATCATATGTTTAAAACATCTGCAAGATTTTAAAGCATTCGATTTTGCAGATTCAAAATTAAATTGTAGGTGAAACGAAGTTCACGGGGTCAGCTAGTGTCTGATAAAATAGCAACTGATTTTATCAGACATTCGTACAGAATTTGAGTCTTTGAAAAAGCTCCAGAACAACAAATTCAGAATGGAATTTGCAATTTGTAGTGATCATATTTATTTAACACTTCAGTTTGAGATAAGTAATTGAAAAAGTCACCTGATTTTAAAAATTTGTTTATCTTATCAAAAACAAATAACGAATTTATTACCGCCCATACCTATATAAAAGGACGTTTTTCTCTTACTTGTGTAAAAACAATTGTGTAGTTAAAAATCTGGCTGCTGTTAGTGACTTAAATTTAAAAAATGGAGAACAGTGAGGTGAGTGTTTTTATTTATTTGTTCATATAGGTGTGTACAGAAACCGAAAAACTTGGTTGCTAAGAGTACAACAATTTTTATTTAAGTGCATTATTAAAATTCTAAATCAACGAAGACTATTTTTTGTATAATGTTTTTTCTGTTTTCACTTTACTTATTTAAAGTACTACTAATATTCACAGTTCTCATCGGTCTGTTGTACAGAGTGAAAAAAACAACCTGGTTTTATAAATTTTATTCACCAAGTTAATTTTCACAAATTTAGTTATGTTTTTCTAAAACGTCAAACTTGTGTAATATCCGTTCGCAAAACTCCCGCACTGTCAGTGTCAGATTTGGAAAAAATGACCTGAGTGTACTCAGTGGTGAGATGCGAAAAACCTGTACAATATGTTGCAAAATTTCATTCTAGTGACAAACTAGTAACTAAAAATAACTTGTCAAATAAAAATGTCAAAAGCACATTAATTGAAGATTTTTATCAATTCAAGTAAAGAAAGAGTATGACACACGAACGACAACGAAAGCTTTTTTTGAATAATATATATTTCTGACCTTACTGTCCACTTCTACGCTTCTGGTGCTACAATTGGTTTGAATTACTGACAAGTTCTTTAAACACATTGAACACTTCAGCAACTCAAAAAGATAAAATAGTTAATAAACATTTGATTTTTCATTCATTAATTTTGAAAATTTGAAATTAAAGCCGGTAATCATATAAACTAAAAAATCTTTTAGGGGATTATTTCTCATACCAACAGAATGTCATTCTGACAGTGCGGGAGTTTTGTGAACGGATATTATGATATTTTCAACAATACGTCGAAGTCTTGAATCGTATTTTTTCTCGTTTTAATTTTATTGTTTAAGACACCATGATATTTAAGTTTGAAGAAGCCTCCCAGCCGGGAGCCGAAACGTAACAAGATCAGAATGTTTTAGTTAGTTTTCATTGACCTCAAAAAAACCCACAAGGTTTACTTTCGTTTTGATCAAGTTGTTTGACGATTAAATTAATTTAAACATGTATTTCAAATATTTATAAAATGATAAATATATATTTTAAAGTGATATAAATAAGTTAACTAAAACGTTCCAAATAAAAAAAAACAAAAGTAGATAAAGATTATCTTTAACGCCTTGTATAATAAACAATCATTTTTCCACATGCAATAAAAATTATTATAAATAAAATAATCGCAGAGACATTGTTAGGTATAAATTAAAATAGAAAAAAAATGCTATTACCCTGCATAACTTTTTTGATCATGCAAACACAATAATTACGGAATAATTACTTTTTAAAGCAATTGTTCGTCTATTCCTTTCCAGATTTTTAAAAAACGGGCCGGAACAACCGACAAAGGCAGAGATTATGAGGATGTGGTTCTCGCCAATGTTGTACTAAGGCTATTAAACGACCCCAGAGTAAAAACGTTCCAGATCTCATCAAACGATGATGATTTTGGAGCGTTTGATGATCTGGTCATTAAGCTTGCATCGGATAAGGAAAACGACATTCAAGTTAAAGCGGTGCAGTTAAAACACACCGAGAGGAAAGTACTCTCTCTAGAAAATTTGCGAACCGTAAAAGGAGACTTCAGTATTCAAAAATACTATAAAAGTTACACAGAAATTGAGGAAGAAATAGATGAACTGATTTTGTTCACAAATCGCTCGTTTGACCCTCCCGAAAACGCAACCTTCCAACTTGAGGGCGAAGGATTTTACGTCAAGCTTACTAAAAGAGAAGTTAGCTCAGACATTTCAGAAAATGTTAGTCACGTTTATCAGTTTGAAATAGTAGATGATCAATCGACAGTGGAGAACATTCAAAAATATCAGGAATTTTTTCGCAAGTTTTTTCTCTATACCGACCAAGAAAATTGTGATACTCTGGAAAAAATAACCGCTAACAAATTCAAGACAACATATTGTTCAGATGACGAAACATTCGGTAGATTCCTCAAAACAGTTGCGAAGTGGAACGTCCAAGATGGGAAGAAAGAAAAGATTGATAACAAATGGGCGCAGCTTGTACTTTCGCTACACCTTCTGTCCTCGCATACTGAGTTTCTATCTTTCGGTCCAGTTAATGACAAAATGAAAATTTTCCGGGAAGCGATTTCCTTCTTTGATGTCACACTGATTGAAGACAAATCGGTCGAAACGGTTAAGCAACTGTGGGGTGATGTTGGAAAGGAAAAAACTATTGATTTTAAGGAATTAAATAAAGTTAGAAGGAGATATCTACCTACTCTCGCACATATTAAAGCCAACGACATTGGCACCATAGATCCCAAAGCCTTTACTCAACTTTTGTGGGTAATGGACGAATGTCCATTAATTTTACGTGAATGGGAAAAAATAAAAAATATTATACAGCTGTGTCCCGACAAAAAATTCGTTTTGGTTGGCGTAACTAAAGATGAGGAATGGGTGAAAAAGCATTCCGTGTTTCAAAATTTGTCAGACTTGAGTCTGAAGCCCGAAATTCGTAAAAATGTAATGCAAAATTTTACCATTTCGATTCAGGGAAAGGGCGAACTTGATCTTGTGACATCTTTTGGCAGTAATGAAGATTTTTTCAAAAATGTTAGAACTGATCACCTCGTGGAAATGCTGAACGGTACATGTTGTGTAGGAGGAACAAAGGAAAGACTAGCCGAACCTTATATAGAACGCTATATTTCGCGAAATGTCCTTGATAATACATATTTAGAAAAAGTTCACGAAAACACAATTATTATTTTAAATTCTGCCAATAATTTAGACAAAGTTAAAACCAAACTCGATAAATGTGAATTAATTGACATTAATAACTTCTTACTGAAAAAAAATCAGAATGGCGAAAATCTAACAAATAATGACTTTAACGTTAATGAATCTAACTTTAATGACAAAAATTACGTAGGTAACGACAACAAAAATAATTTTAGTTTTGATAAATCAAGTTTTGCCAACACAGTTTACGTTGGTACAAGGCACTATAACGATTCTGAACTTCAACAAATTTATAACGAACACAAAAAAACAAAACAATTTCATTATTTTAAAGTTTTGAATGATGGAAATTTAGAATGGCTATGTAGCAGAGGTGATGTTAGTGATGTAGAGGCTTACAAATTAACTGACGAACATCCCACCGAAGAAAATGCCTTGTGGTCTTCTCGGTTAGATTATAACATCAATCTTATAATTGGAGATCCGGGAATGGGTAAAAGTGAGCTAGTGAAAAGCTTAAAAAATACATGTTCTCGCGAATATTGGACAGTTTTAATTAATCCCAATGATGCTAATTTATTTTTTCGCAATCACAATTTCTCTAACACGGAAAATTCTTCAGATTTATTTGTAAAATTCATCACAAATAAAAAATATGAGTCGCTCGAAAAACTAGATCTAAAGTTTTTCGAAATGTGCATTAAGAAAAACAACGTAATTTACGTGTGGGACGCACTTGATGAAATCTTAAATGATAAATTAGATGCCGCTTTAAATATAATTCTCCATCTTTCAACAAAAGGGTTTCGTCAGTGGGTTACAAGCAGACGTCATTTAAAATCAACTCTAGAAAATAAATTCAATTTGTTGTCACTTAGCATAAATCAATTTAACGAACAAGAACAAGAAAAATATATCAGTAAACGTCTAGAATCTTTTAATTCAGAATACAACATTGACGAAACGCTGGAAAAAATTAAATCATCTTTTGCGATTGTAGAACACATAGATATACTAGGTATCCCTCTGCAAATATTCATGCTTACCGAACTGTTCCGTGAAAATAGCGAAAAATATTTGAATCTAATGGACAACACATTCGTTTTAACTGACCTTTACGAATATTTTATTCAGGAAAAATTTAATAACTTTTACAAAAACAAAATGGGATACGATTTAGAAAATCCACAATTGGAACATGTAATCAGTCAAAAAAAACTAAAGGCTACAGAATATTACGAAAGTGTGTCCTTTAGAGTAATATTTGACGAAAAAATTAGGCAGCGACTGAATATTGATTACGAAAAATGTGTACAGAAACTTGTACAAAATTACGCTTCTCTGGGTCTTGTAAATGACTTTCAAAATGATGTTCCACGTTTTGTGCATAGTTCCTTCGCTGAATATCTAGTTGCTAGGTACTTTTCAGAAGATATTAATCATTTTAAAGACACAATTGCGGACTTGTTGTTTGACGCAAGGTATAATAACGTTCGATTCTTTTTTGACATGCTGTTGGCTAAAAACTCAAAAGCTCACATTGCCGTATTGTATAAACGTTACGAGTTACTTAAAACGTACGACGACGAAATTTTAAAAAGCAAAGATAAAGGGGGAAGAAGTGTTTTACATTTGATTTCGTCATGGGGGCAAAGACATCCGCGTGTAAAAGTAACGCGTGTAGAGAAAAGGTGTATTGTGAACCAGAGTAGCAATTTCGATAAAAAAGCGGAAATCAAAATATACTTTGAAACAATGACGTATTTGCAACGAAAGACAGATTCTAGTGAACGCGATATGTTGTTAGATGCGACTGCGTTGACTTATGCCCGAAAAAGTGAGAGCCTAGGAGCACAAATACAATTATTACAAACAAAAAAGGATGAGGTGAGACAATCTCGCGATGACATAATTAATGTTATATATTATTCTGCTTTACTGGGTTACGACGACTTGTGTAAACACTTCACAGTAGAAGAGTTGAATAATTTTTGGTGTGAAGTGGAAATTGTTACTGCAGAAAATGCTGAAACACCTCTGTGGCTGGTCTGTGAAAATGGTAATTTAAAAATCGTTGAGTATTTTGTAAGATCTGGTGTCGACATCAACTGTGTTAATATATTCGGTGAGACACCACTTTTCATAGCTTCTTGTAACGGTCACGAAAAAGTTGTCGAATACTTGGCGACAGTCGGCGCCGAAATTAATCGCGCTGATAAAAACGGTGTGACACCTCTTTACGCAGCTTCTTTTAACGGTCACGAAAAAGTTGTCGAATACTTGGCGACAGTCGGCGCCGAAATTAATCGCGCTAATCAAAACGGTGTGACACCTCTTTACGCAGCTTCTTTTAACGGTCACGAAAAAGTTGTCGAATTCTTGGCGACAGTCGGCGCCGAAATCAATCGCGCTAGGAATGACGGTTGGACACCACTTTACGTAGCTTCTGTAATGGGTCACGAAAAAGTTGTCGAATACTTGGCGACAGTCGGCGCCGAAATTAATCGCGCTAATAAAAACGGAGTGACACCACTTTTCGCAGCTTCTTTTACCGGTCACGAAAAAGTTGTCGAATACTTGGCGACAGTCGGCGCCGAAATTAATCGCGCTACTGATGACGGTTGGACACCAATTCACGCTGCTTCAGAAAACGGTCACGAAAAAGTTGTCGAATACTTGGTGACAGTCGTTGCCGAAATCAATAGTGCTAATAAATACGGTTCGACACCACTTTACGTAGCTTCAAAAAACGGTCACGAAAAAGTTGTCGAATACTTGGCGACAGTCGGTGCTGAAATCAATCGCGCTGATAATGACGGTTGTACACCACTTTACATAGCTTCACAAAACGGTCACGAAAAAGTTGTCGAATACTTGGCGACAGTCGGCGCCGAAATCAATCGCGCTGATAAAAACAGAGTGACACCACTTTTCACAGCGTCTTTTAACGGTCACGAAAAAGTTGTCGAATACTTGGCGACAGTCGGCGCCGAAATCAATCGCGCTGATAAAAACAGAGTGACACCACTTTTCACAGCGTCTTTTAACGGTCACGAAAAAGTTGTTGAATACTTGGCGACAGTCGGCGCCGAAATTAATCGCGCTAATAAAAACGGAGTGACACCACTTTTCGCAGCTTCTTTTACCGGTCACGAAAAAGTTGTCGAATACTTGGCGACAGTCGGCGCCGAAATTAATCGCGCTACTGATGACGGTTGGACACCAATTCACGCTGCTTCACAAAACGGTCACGAAAAAGTTGTCGAATTCTTGGCGACAGTCGGCGCCGAAATCAATAGCGCTACTAATGAGGGTTGGACACCACTTCACGCAGCTTCAGAAAACGGTCACGAAAAAGTTGTCGAATACTTGGTGACAGTCGTTGCCGAAATCAATAGTGCTAATAAATACGGTTCGACACCACTTTACGTAGCTTCACAAAACAGTCACGAAAAAGTTGTCGAATACTTGGCGACAGTCGGCGCCGAAATCAATCGCGCTGATAAAAACAGAGTGACACCACTTTTCACAGCGTCTTTTAACGGTCACGAAAAAGTTGTTGAATACTTGGCGACAGTCGGCGCCGAAATTAATCGCGCTAACAATGACGGTTGGACACCACTTCACGCTGCTTCACAAAACGGTCACGAAAAAGTTGTCGAATACTTGGCGACAGTCGGCGCCGAAATCAATTGCGCTAATAAAAACGGTGCGACACCATTTTACGTAGCTTCACAAAACGGTCACGAAAAAGTTGTCGAATACTTGGCGACAGTCGGCGCCGAAATTAATCGCGCTGATAAAAACGAAGTGACACCACTTTTCACAGCTTCTTTTAACGGTCACGAAAAAGTTGTTGAATACTTGGCGACAGTCGGCGCCGAAATTAATCGCGCTAACAATGGCGGTTGGACACCACTTCACGCTGCTTCCTCCCACGGTCACGAAAAAGTTGTCGAATACTTGGCGACAGTCGGCGCCGAAATCAATCGCGCTAACTATTACATTTACACACCACTTTTGTTAGCTTCTTTTAACGGTCACGAAAAAGTTGTAGAATGCTTAAGAAGAGCCGGCGCTCAACCGTCCAAATTGCAGTTTATTGCGAGGTTTTTATTTAATTTAAATAATTTTGTAAAGTCTATAAATGGTTATCTTATCCGGAAACAATAATGGGTATATGTTTTATTTTGAAAGCAGATACCTATTAATGTCGCGAAAATTTTGACATCGTCAATTTGCAGCGAATATTTTGTCCGTCTTTAACGCATAACACGCCGATAAGCTAAGTTTGAAAATTATTAAACACTTCAGTTGTCAAAAATAGTGTATGCAGAGTCGAAGTGCATACAAAATATTAATTAATTAACAGAAACCCATGCACTTGTAATATTAATTTCTAGTGGAAATTATTTTAACATGTCTGGTTAGAATTTGAATATGGCCTGAGACAGCTCGCCATACATCAGTATGCTTAGTTTTCCACAAAAAATAACCCACATTGTAGTTAAAAACAGAAAACTAGGGAGCATAGCACCAATTTAAACTTTTGCGACAAATCAAACGTATTTTCTACCCGGACAAATGTATTCACTCATTCCAGTATCCTTGATTATAGGTTGCGATGTTAACTGACAAATAAAGCGTAATACCTACTTACTGACAATTCTTCTATATCACTTCATCACGTTTGCTTAGTCCTCTGTCACGACTGATTACAAAATATTCCCGAAGTTGTAACTCCAATAAAAAATTGTAATCGATTATTATCACCTTTGTAGCGTATGCATTTTAATTGTTGATTTAAAAAAAAAACATGGAATAGTTATTAATGTCGCTTACAAACTCCATGCATCGTACCGTTTAGTATTTTCTTCAAATTAGCTGAATCGATTTGTAAGAAAATTGAAAAGAAGGAAATGACAATACCATAACTAAGAAATGGAAATATTTTTCGGTAAATACGTTACATGATGTGAAAATAAAATAAAATTTAATTTTGCAGGACATCCTAAATTACTGGTTGCAAAGAAATAATTCAGCTTATTTATATAATCTACGTTTCTAGGTATATTACGAGATCCAACACAATGATTGCGAAATAACGAAGGTAACAAAATAAATCAAAAAGTCCCACAATTCATAATTTGGTTTTAGCATTCTAACAAAGTTGGATATATTAATCGGAATTCTGGATAAAACTCTTATAAATATCAAATGGATAGGAACCGACAATTCGATAAACTGACGTAAGAATTCCATCTAGCAACGTTCGAATACAAGACTAAAATTACCAAAGTGGGACAATGTTTTCGAGGATTCTTTATTATGTGTGAGTAAAATTTGCTATTAATTTTGCTTAATGTTGTTGAACATACTTTGTGCCCGCATTTTTTAAATACTAATAACAATAATGAGTCTATTTTTGTATCATTTCATTATGTACACTTTTTCAGTGACAGACAAATTATCGGAAATTGACATTTCTCAGAGAGCTTCCACCTCAAAACAGTCATGTCGTCATCCTTTGGGAAACCGCCCTGCGAATTTCTGTTCCTATAAAAATTCTAGCTTAAAGGGATTTTTTTTTTTGAGTGTCATGCATGGAAAAGTATTCCAAAAATGTAATACGCCTTGTTTCACGTTAAACAAAACCGATGACACGATCTTACGAAGGTATTTTAATCTTGGGGTCTACAAATGAAATACTGAGTAACTGATCAAATATTTTAGGAAACGTGGTCTCAACGGAGTTCAACAAATTATTTAAAAAAATGAAATTTCAGCAACAGCTACACAACGTAATGTTTGGGGCTTGGTCTGGACAGATTTTCTAATGAAACGTTGGAAAAGAGCACCACAATAATACATGATTTTTCTACTGAAATTTAGCGATGGCTTCCCAACGTAATCGTCTTCGAAAAGCATGAAAAATATTAGGGATTTTTGAAATTGGCAGAGGTATATTTTTATGTTCAAACAAAAAGAATAACTATTTTACTCTTTATTACACAATTGTTACGATATTTCTAGTCTATTGATAATATATCTTTACAGGAATAGAAGAAAAACCAATAGTCAAAATGCGCCATCAGTCTAATCCAGAAGAAAGCCAAATATGAAAACAAAAGTGTCCTACGTATGTCTAAAAAATATATATCTTAACTTAGCGGTATACTTATGTCAAAAAGCAATTGTTATTCCCATTAATAATAGTTTGTAAAAAAAACAAAAATGTGTATGTATTATATAAATATTAACCAAGAGGTGTATATTAAATGTATAAAAATTGGTATTTATTCACCGTAAATTACCGAAAGAAGGATTGTACTGAAGCATCCTGATTTAGAGTTACAATTTAAAATTATTTCGTCCGCTTGACGAATGTTTTTTCAACGTTTCATAACCCCTCGAGTATAAAAAAGCAAGAAAAAAAAATTAATAAAACTTTTCTAAAGTCTGTTAAGCTTACGAAGTACCGTATGATACGTCAGTTTTATTATAAAAGACTTTGATCAGTCCATGTAGGACATAGTAAAAACAGAGCTAACATTTAGTGGAACGAAATGTCAGATAAGCTTACCTCCGTTAATGATAGATAACTATTTCAGATCATATGGTACTGTTAAAAATTAAAAACAAATAATCATTTCAAGAATAATTGTTCCCCAAAAAACTCGGTTGTCTGTAAAGTCGGTTTACTGACGATAGTTGAACGTGACAACGTCTTAAGAAAATACTGATGGAATGGTTTTGGGCTTTTGATTTTGAAGCAGCGATTATTGGCTGCGCGAATGGCGTTGCTAAAGTAAATGCTACAGCATCTTGAACCTCCATGGGTTCACTCATTGAAGGTAAAGGCTTATTCGTAACATCCTCTGGTTTGTCAGGCTTTTTTTCCATGGTGCGTTTGTAAGCAGTTCTGCAAAATAAATCGTCGTTCGAAACAATTTAAATAAAATTCTTAAAATATTATCGTTGTCACGTCAAAATTGACACTACATTCACTTTTCACTGCACTTGATACTCGACCAAAACATGTAAATGTACTATAATATAGCAGCTGTCCACGCAGACGCATCGCTCACTCAAGTAGGAGAGAGACCGATGGCGAACGCTGCCGAACGCGAAGGCCGATTGTGCCTCTTTGTCGCTCGTTCCGCGTTCTCGCTTGCACTTCAAGCCTTACATGGAACGTGACAGTAACGGTATGAGTCATGCTTTTTCGAGCGTGCAGCCGGCTCCATCGATTTATAAGACGTTATCACGTCAAAAAAGAACTTAACGTCTAATGACTTCAACTTTTTCAATGTTCTGAGTAAATAAAAGAACTGACGTCAAAATTTTTGGCAAATGTCTGGACAACTCTACCAGTCAGATTCCTATAAGGATGTAATCGTTGTTTATTTGGATGATGGTTGCCCATAATTTTTAGATAACTTTTTCATTTATCACACATTTGGTCAAGGACCACGGATAACAACACAGAGGTTATAAAGTGCAACCCACGATTAAAAATTTCGTAGTACAATAAAATTATTGATGCAGAAAATGGTTTCAAAAGTTGTTCTCTTATTAATGTTGCTGTTTAGAAATGTGTTCCTTAACCCTAGTGAAACTGATGACGTAAATACGCTTCTAAAATTCATTCAGAATTACTATACAGTTGACAAAAGTATAGCATAGCATACTGTAAAATGTCATTCCAAAGATTTCTCAAAGACTTTTGACATATTTGGTCATGACCTTCTTTGTGGCAAAAACGAATTCTATGGTTTCGATTAAACTTCAGTTGTGTTCTTTGGATCTTACCTTACTAGTCGCTATCAGCAAGTCAACTGATGCGGGTACATCTGATCTTGGTTTTATAACATCTCGCGTTCCTCAGGAATCAGTTTTAGGACCCTTTTATTCACAATTTATACATCAGAGTTATTAAAAATTTACACAGTGTCAAAAATTAGCGCCTTTGCTGACGATACTCAATTACTTTACCACTTTCCACCCGAAGAAGTTAAAAACGCATGTACTGATATAAACAAAGCTTTAAGAAATATTACCACAGTTTTAGCTTCAATTAACCTCTGCTTAAATGTTTGCTCAAAAAAAATTGAAACAATTTTTAACAAACAAAATAAATATTACAATCGGCTTTACTAAATTACCTAATTTACAGACCGTAAAAAATTTAGGGTTATTGAGCCAAAATTATTAAAAAACATTAGGTTGCGATTAAAATGCTTTACTCAAACTTTTTAACTTAACTCAATGTTAAGAAAAAACTATCTGAAACGTTTGTATATCATATACCTACTCCTATTAATTATTGTTTTATAATATAGTAGCTTTTCGCCCGCGGCTTCGCTCGCGTAGACGATTCGTTGTGTTAAAGAGCATTATTACCAACAATTAATACAATTTCCAGTAAAAATCGACATAAAAATATTTTTGCTCCTAAAAACTTTGTCACCCCCTTTCATATTTTTAGGGCTGGAATCTCGAAACAATCTGAAATACGTGTTTCATTATTTGTGTTGAAGAGTATTAATACCAAGTTTCAAGTAAAAATTTAAATTTAGAGTAGAAATATTTTTCCCATACAAGCTTCGCCACCGCTTTTCATCCCCTTAGGGTTGAAACTCGGAAAATGCTTGTGTGAACTTAGTTGGACGTAAATTGAAAAACTGTACAAATACCACCTCTCTGTTTTTCATTTCGTTTATTTAATTGGTTCTCCACCATATTTGAGTTGTCGATTTCATACACGAAAATCCGATTTAAACTCCAATGTTCGGCTTAGGGGGGACTTTTTCAGAAGTCATTTTCTTATAATGCATTTTATTCCGAGATTACATCTGTGCGTTCGATAAACAAATTTAAAAATAAATAAAAAGAGTTTACTTAGCTAATTAGAGTAGTTACCTTTTAGTAGTAGTTTTAGTAGTTCTTTTTTTCTCTCTTTACCTTATAGCTTGTAAAATTTCTTGTGTTTTCATATTGTTTTGTTTAAGGTTAAGTGGAATAGTATTGGCTGATTTCGCCTTTCTTTAATAAAGACCTTATTATTATACCTTGACAGAGAACAAATCAGATGAATTGTAAAAAATTATTGTTCAAATTATATGTTAAAATCAAAAAATAGTATGCCTAAGGAAAACTAATTAAAAAAACTTTTCTAAACTCTATTAAGGTTACGAAGTATCGTATAATACATAAGTTTTATGATAAAAGACTGATAAATTTACAACAATGAATAATCATTTCAAGAATTGTTCCCCAAAAAAGAACTTAACGTCTATTGATTTCAAGTTTTTTGACTTTCTAAGTAAATAAAAGAATCTACCTCAAAATACAACAACTCTACCAGTTAAATTTCTATAAGGATGTACTCGTTGTTTGTTTGGATGATGATTGCACATAATTTTTAGATAACTTTTTCATTTATCACACATTTGGTCAATGGTCAATGAACACGAATATCAACAAAGAGGTTATAAAGTACAACAACCCACGATTAAAACATTCGTAGTACAACAAAATTATTGCTGCAGAAAATGGTTTCAAAAATTGTACTCTTATTAATGCCGTTGTTTGGAAGTGTGTTCCTGAACCCTAGTGACACTGACGACGTAAGTACTCCTTTAAAATTCGTTCAAAATTACCAAAAAGTAATCAAATCACGCATATTTTATTAAATAAGCAGTTTTTATTAGACTTTACTATCTTATTTTTTGACAGTTTTCTGTGGTTTCTACTAGCAAAAGCCCACCAAAATTTGACACCATCGTAAACGACCCTTTCTTTGTACGAGTGGAATTACCGTTAGAAATGCGCACTATACTTGACGCATAAAGAATCCGTAAATAACCTGCAAAACATAAAGCGGGAAATTATCGAAGTGGTCGAAAACGTGGTAGAAAACAAAATCAGTATTTACGACGCAGGCCTAAAAGAACAATTATCGCAAACAAAGACCGAAATCGTGTCAGAAACGAAAGAAAATGTTAAACGAGAATTAACCGAGGCAAAGAATGAGATAACGATCCAGATGAACGCCGTAAAAGAATCGGGATTTACGCTTTATTCTATCATCGAAAAGAAACTCACAGAAACAAAAAATGAAGTACTTGATGAAATGAGCAACCAAAGAGAATCAACGAAGTTAGTTTTTTCCGAAAGCGAAAAACACATTACCGGAATAGAATCATACGTGCAAACACACTTCACCAACCTGGAAAATCAGTTAAAAGAAACAAAGCAACAAATTGTGGCTGAAACAAAAGAAAATGTTAGATTGCAAGTAATAGAGGCGAAAAATGAAATCCAAGAAGTAGAAACCGCGCTTCAAACCAAATTCAAAATTTATGATACAGAAATAAAAAATGAATTGGATAAAGCTAAAAAGGAAATCGTCACTGCATCTGAACAGCAGCTAAGTCTAGCAAAGGATGAAATATTTAATAGAATAGCGTCTTCAGTAATATCGACAAAATTAGCCATGGTTTCCCAAAACGAAAAACAACTAGAAGTAATACAGTCAAATCTGCAAATTCATTTTGAAAAAATGAAGAACGAAATTAGCGCACTTTTAAATTTTAAAGAGATTAAAAATCAGCTTAGAAAAACGCAGGTAAAAATTATTACTGAAATTCAGGAATGTAAGACGGTACCAAGTGACTGTAGAGAAATTCAGAGGAAAGGATACAAAAGTTCTGGTATTTATCGCATCCAGCCAATGATTTCCTTGGAAAATTTTTTGGTTTGTTGTGACATGTCAACTAGAGGAGGTGGTTGGACTTACGTTCTGAATAGATTCGACGGTTCCCAAAATTTTTATTTAAACTGGACTGACTATAAGCAAGGTTTTGGTAATCTTTCAGGAGAACACTGGTTGGGTTTGGATCATCTTTACCAATTGACGAGTGAGTTCTTTTATCGTTGATAGTACTGTACAATGTGATTTTGCTATTTCAGACAGCAAACCTACCGAGTTGTTATTCGAACTAATGGACTGGGACTCAAAAACGGTTAATGCTTTATATAACAGGTTTCAAATTGGCAACGAAACCGAACGCTATCAGATAAAAACTTTGGGATTGTACGATGGAAATGCTGGAGATTCTTTCGACTCGCACGATGGTTCAAAATTTAGTACCGCCGATAATGACCATAGTTCCACCGGCACCTGTGCCTCTAGTTTTGGTAAACTTTATTTAATTTTGATTTGGTTTATAAAAAGGTTCTTGCAGAGGGTGGCTGGTGGTACACGAGTTGTCTTCAGGTAGATCTTAGTGGAAAATATATAAAAAACCCTACACCTGGAACATCCTATCAGTCAGCAATAAACTGGAATGAATTTCATGGCTACAACTATAGTCTCAAAGAAGCAAGAATGATGATCAGAACTATTTAAGTTAATTTGTCCAAACACAACTAATTCTTGGTTTTTGCATTTTGAATAAAAAATTAATTCAATTGAAAATTTAGCTATTTGGATTAAAACCACCATACTAAGTTTGGCATGTATCCAACACAAAATATGAAACTTTTCATTCGATAATTAAGGTCACTTTGGAGAATATTGGTATCTATGTTACCGAACACAGTACCTTCATGAGTATCATGCATGAGGTAGGATTTTATGGCTGATGCACTAAATTTTTAATTTCATCGTGTTTTTCTTTTGTAAAATGGAAACGATACGTCTTTAATGGTTGGATATTAATGGTCGAATTTGTTTCAAGTTTTTTCACAATATTTACGTATTTGTGTTTTGGTAAAAATTAGATTGTTTAATATTAGGAAGTTGGTTTTAATTTATTATATATTTAACTAGCTGACCCCGTGAACTTCGTTTCACCTACAATTTAATTTTGAATCTGCAAAATCGAAATGCTTTGAAATCTTGCAGATGTTTTAAACATATGATAAGCATAATAAATTTTTATTCAAAATATATTTACTTATCCCCTCCAAAAAATTGATGATGCCAGCCCAAAATTTTGCCAAATGAATCCTCTTTAAAATGTCCAAAATAGGATGAGACTATACTTGTGATTTATCATTCCATTCATATTTTTTAGTTTTGCTTATAGGGGGTGTCTCAAAAAAATTAATCACTGAGTCAATTTATTTTATTGATTGAATCAAGAATTGCAAAAATGAATTTTGAAATATTGCAGACGTTTGGAAGTTAATGTTTGACATGGTAGGTTTTCAATCAAAATATACCTGTTTATCAAGCCCAAAAACTTAAAGACGTCACCTCAAGATTTTGTCGAATAAATCCTATCTAAAATGTGGAAAATATCATCAGCATATTTTCGTAATTTATCATTGCATTCATATTTTTTAGATTTGCTTTTACAGTGACTCAAAAAAATGTATGGATCAGTCAATTTATTTTAGAGAATAACTCAAGAGTTGTAGAAATGAATACTTTGAGATCTTGCAGACGTTTTAAAGTTATTGTAAGCATGGTAAATTGTTAAGAATATTTATTTATTGGCCCCAAAAAATTGATGGAATGGCTCACTCGATTTTCGCAGATAATAATTTTGGGAATACAATACAGTTATTTTTAGTATTACACTGCACCAATCCAAGGTGGTATACGTGTTGATCGTAAATGTTGATTAGGTCATCACAAAATTGTGTGAAGAAAAGACTCAACTCGAAAATGCTGAATATGTTTCATTATACTTTTGGTGCGAAGGAAGTTCTGTTGAAACAACGTTCGATCAATTTTTTAACAATGGTTGATATAAATAAAACTCAGTAGATGGTCATACTCGAAATACGAAGTATCTACTCGAATATCAAATCAAAATATTTCTAGTTTTTCTAGATGATATTAATACTTCAGTAGGTAACAGTTGATGCTCAAGTAGCATCTCGATACAACAAAAAAGGACAACAGTGACAGTGTTCAACCATCAAAGCAAAAATCGAGTCACCAAAATGTAAGTTGGTATGGGGTAGACACCTTGAGATGGGAATCTCTATGGTCAGTGTTAGAAAAAAGGCACTGCACAATTTATGCATAAATAAAAGTTTATTACCTGAAAAGTTTTCGATACTCCTGCTCCTAATGTGTTTTTCAAACTGAATGCACCTTTTGACGACGTTCCACGTTCATGAAAGTCGCCATGTTTAGTTAAAATTCACTCTTACAATGATCTTACTCGCTTTCTAAGCTGCTTTACAGACAGCTCAGTTATTTGCCACGCCGATGCTCATTTTTAGATTAAATGCTCACAAAACGCGTAGATGTTCAATTTGTGTCCGGGGAGATACAATTTTCCAAGTAGGTACTCAGTACATAGAGTAGATGCTCTGGTGTATAAGAGTAATAATGAAGTAGGTACTTCGTACTTCGAATATTAGTTTCTACTCAGTTTTATTCATACCACCCAAAGTCTCGCTTCAATGTTTGATTATGTTGATTATGAGCACAACGCTGATCAACTTCCATATCCGAATTACCCATGAAATAAATCATTGCGGTTTGCACCTGAGGTAGTTCGTCGCACATTTAATTGACTTCGTGGACGTATGTCAGCTTGTCGTCTTCTTGGCATTTTAATGAACTTCATAAAACGGCACAGAATTATTTTCACAGTCAACCAAATCTGTAAATTTTGTCTTAAGAATTTTAAAATATTGAAAACTTCAAATTAAATTCTCGAATAACGGTAAAGTTTGAGGTTTTGTCGAAACCAACAAAGTGGATATAGGTAAATAGAATGGCAGATCAAAATTAATAAGAAACTTTCGCAATGGGTAATTAAATTCACTTTAACCAAGGCTTTTCTTAAAATAAACGACGTTTTTTTTTACGAAAAAACAAAGAACGATTTGAAATGCAATATTATACTTTTCACAATTGCACGGAAGAATTAGTTTTGTATGACACGTCAGTTAGACGACAGAAATGGGGGTTGGTGGTAGAAAGGTAAAAATTTAGGGTTATGTGTATTTTTTGATGCCAATTCTTAAAAAAATAAAAATAAAAAATTTTGTCCAAAAAATAGAAAACAATTTTTTAGGGTGGGCCACCCTTATCACTTAAGGGTTTAAAAAATAGTTTGCAACCTATTCTCAGACCTACCGAATATACATAAAAAATTTCATACAAATCGGTCAACCCATTTCGGAGAAGTTCGGTTACAAACACTGTGACGCGAGAATTTTATACATAATGCATTATTATGTTAGAACAAATTTCATTACCATAAAAAAGGTTGTACTGACTCGACCTTAAAAGATAGACATATGCTGTCGCGGACTTTTCTTTAGAAGTTTTAGAGGGGAACAATTTCGTCATACATGATTTTTACGTAACTTTAACCGTTTAAGCAGCGTAAGCAACGGAAGCTGTCAAAGGAGGAATAATTTTCCCGTTTTTCCGAATTTTTCATTGCTATTTCGCTCCTAATGATCGTAGCGTGATGTTATATAGCCTATATGTAGATATGATACATGGACTATCCAACACAAAAAGATTTTTTGAATTTGAACCAGTAGTTTCTGAGATTAACGTGTTCAAATAAACAAAAGCTTCAGCTTTATTATATAAGTATAGATGATCCGGATGGACCATTCAAATAAAAAATTAATATTTTTATTCTACTTTATTTACTATATGGTTACAAGACTTCACGAACACTAAGATATCTACATAAGAATCGAATAAAACTATTCTAAGTCCGGACGAGTATGAAATACAAAGTCAAACATTGTTTAAGTATATAATATACTTCAGTATATAATATACTTAAACAATGGTTTGATTTTGTTTAATTCTTCTTTGAGCCAAAAATTAAGTGCAATGGATGTGTATGTTTAATTGGTATTGGAAATTTGTGACTCCTTGGGTGTTTTTATATGAATGTGTGGGTTTATTAAAATAGTACTCCTTTATCTAATTATCATTTATTCTGTATATAAACCTTACGAAAATATTTATAAGAAAAGTAAGACGACTCTCAAAGAAAAACAGAAGGCATTTTAGCAGAATATTTCTTCAAATATTCCACAAATTTCTGACACTGTTCAAGCTGAAGATGAAGAACATTTGAAAAATTGTACAATTGACCGCTGCAATCCAATAAGTGATAACCTTGGTATTTTTGCAGAAGTTCGGCAGTCGATGAGAAAAAGATTGAATGCATGTTGGTGGTAGTCATTTTCAGCAAATTTTGTAAATTAAGAATCTTTACATGTAATATGAATTAAGTAATAAAATAAAGTATCTACTGCTTTCTACACAAAAAACATTTATCGCACTGTTCGGAAGAAAGCATTTTATCCAAAAGTATCCATGGACAAAAATTTTAAAATAACCCCTGAATTTTGTTACATGTTTAGTAAACACCTGTCTATAAAAAATTTTTGATAATACCAGTTTTCGTCATTTTAATCATATTTATAATAGTAATCTTGTTTTACGGTAGTTTTTTCACTTATTAAGAGTTTCTGTTTTTTTTTTGTTTGTTTAGTTTTATAGTATTTTATTTTTGTTCTTTCGTCCTATAATTTCTTTAAATTTCATTTTCATCGTTTTTTGTTAGTTATTCCTATTTGTTATTATTTTTGTGTGTACTTTTGTTGTCAAATCGTGGATAATTTAGTCTCTTAATATCAACTGTACGCCCTTTCCTTTAAACTGAAAATGTTTAAAGTAAACATATGGTTATTATATGTAAAAAAACTATTTTGGGATTAAAAAAATTTGCTTTGCTTTATTAGATAGAACTTCTCTCATACCTAAGTACATACAATCAAATAAATCAGTCTTAAAAAAAAATGACACCTGTCAGTCACACTCATATTTTACTATAAAATGTTGTCATACAATTTCTGTCTAAAAATCGACACAGATGACAGAAATGATAGATTGCTTTTTTATACTCAAGGGGTTATGAAACGTCGAAAAAACATGAAAGTAGCCATTGGTCGAGTGGACGAAATAATTTTAAATTGTAACTCTAAATCAGGCTGCTTCAGTACAATATTTCTTTTGGTAATTTACGCTTAATAAATAATAATTTTCCGTCGCCTTACCTTTGCAACATCCTGTATATATACATTTAATATACACTTCTTGCTTAATATTTATATAATACATACAAATTTTTGATTTTTTCATTTTTGCAATACCATATTTTCTTATCAGAAGCTTGGTTAAGGGTTACTTAGACAGGTCAGCAAACAAGTGAATACTGTCCGTCTTGTTAAATATTTTAGTACTAAATTTACGATTAAAGAACATGGTTTCAAAAGCTACAACTTTATTTTTAGTACTGCTTATCGTTAAAAATGAGTACTTGGATAACAATACCACCGACGACGTAAGTTTGCCTTTTAATAAAACTATATTTCAAACTTCGTGTTTTCGAAATTTAATTCTGTCGAAAACAACTCACACATTTCATCATTTTTCTTAGTTGTCTATAGTTTTTCCAAGCGCGATTTCACCGGCGACGAATTTTGAAAACACCATAAACGATCGCTTTTGTGAAATAGAACTACAAATAGAACTGCGTGCTGTTCTTAGCGCCTTAAAAGAATTCATCCAGAACACAAAACAGGAAATCATCCAAGAAGTGGAAACCGCGCTTCAAAACAAATTCAAAATTTATGATACAGAACTAATTCTTGGTTTTTGAATAAAAAATTATGTCAATTGAAAATTTAGCTATTTGTATTAAAACCATCGTACTAAGTTTTGAGTTAGGAAAGGATGTAAACATTGGTATATGTTTCGGAAAACAGTACCTTCAAGAGGTAGGATTTATGGCTAGTGCACAAAATTTTCAATTTCATCGTGTTTTTTTTTTATGAAAACGAGACATCTTTAATCGTTGGATATTAATTGTCGAATTTTTTCACATTATGGAATCCCGACAAAATAACTTCTCTACAGTATAGCTTCGACAAAATAGCTTCATGACAAAATAGTTCCGTCAAAATAGCCCAATATCTAAAAATCTCCACAAGGGAGCAAAAGTATCACAAAAAATATTTACATGCACTTTTCTTAAATTAAAATTTTTTGGTAAACATCATGGTTTATCAAAAATCAAAACCCGCATTTTTGTTTTTTTTGAAGTCAAGTATAGTCTGGTTATTATTAAAGTTCATGACATAGTTATGATTGTAGACGAGCAAAAGCATGTTTTCGTATTCAAAATTATTAGACATATCGACTCCTAACTTGTACAGATGTCTCTATTTTATTATTTCTGTTTTCAATTAAGTAATTGTCATTTTAGCTATTTTGTAAGTAGAGGCATATTCGTATTTTCACAAACTGAGTGATAATGTTAACTTTTGAGTTTGAAATAACATCTGCACTTCTGGAAATGGCTAATTTTGTTGATATTTCTGAAGCGGCTGCTCTGTTAAATATTTCATTATTTGTTAAACTTAGCGGCTGTTTTAAATTTTGAATTTGTTTTGAACCGCGGTTTTCACTTTTTGGATAATTTTCTGTTTTGTGTTCTGGAGAGGGCTGATGGATTCTTTTAACGCGCTAAGAACAGCACGCAGTTCTAGTTCTAGTTCCGTTTTAGAAAAGCCATCGTTTAAGGTGTTGTCAAAATTCGATAAAGTCGTGCTTGTGGAAACTATGGAAAACTCACAAAACTGGTGAAATATATTAGTGATTTTTGAGTGAATTAGGTTTTGAAAACACGATAAGTATGAAATATAGTTTTAAAAGACAAACTTACGTCGTCGGTGGTATTATTAACCAAGTACACATTTTTAACATAACCAATATTAAAAATAAAGTTAATGCTTTTGAAACAATGTTATTCAATGCTAAATTTAGTAATAAACTATTTAATAGGACTGCTTGTGAATGTAATAGGTACTTGTTTGGTGACCTGTGTAAGTGACCCTTAACCCGACTCCTGATAAGAAAATATGTTAATGCAAAAACGGAAAATCCAAAAGCTTTAATACATGATATACTTAAATATTAAACAAGATGCGTAATGACATGTGTATATACAGGATATTGCAAAAGTCTGGCAGCGGAAAATTATTTTTATTCACCGTAAATCACTGAAAGATTGTACTGAAGCAGTCTCATTTGGAGTTACATTTTAAAATTATTTGGTCCACCCGACAAATAACCACTTTCATGTTTTTCGATGTTTCATAATCCCTTGAGTATAAAAACCAGGTCTGCTGTTTTCATTTTGAGACGACGTCATCAATTTTTTGCGAGGGATAAAGAGATAAATTTCGATTAACGACTCGATGCTTACAATAACCCGAAAACGTAACATTGGGTTTTAGAAGTTTCAAAATTAAGTAGTAAAATATTGTTACACTTTTTGTTCTAAAAATCTCGTTTTCTAGGGTAAAAACTCAAGACGGATTCATAAACCACGAGTGCAAAAGTATGTTTGTTATAGAATTTAAATACTCCTAACATTATTACTATTACAAATTTTGAAGATGACGATCATTCCATACAAAATTTAACAAAAATCGATACAGTAGTTTCGAAAAGTATCTATTTAATAAAAATCGACTCCGAGAGCGGACAGACGGCAGACAGGTACACGGACAGAAAAGAGAGGCCGATTTTTTCAAATTCTAGTAGTTATAGAACGTCAAGCAAACATGAAATTAGCCATTCGTCGGACCTTATTATTACAATACTTTCTTAGCTTATGCTCTGGAAGTAAAAATTGCGCTATATAATACACACCCTTTCGTTTGGTACATAAGTATTTACAGATAAGTTCAGAACCGTACCCATATAAACAATAAATTATAGATTGTTCACCGATAATAATTTATTGAAAACATGTCTAGGTAGATTTATTTTGTAACGGTGATAAAATTCTAGCAACGTCACTTTTCACAAATATGTACATTAAGTAAAGAAAGATAAATCCTAACTGCGCAATATCACACCCGTGTAAATGATAAATGAAGATTTTCATCGATGATAAACAATTTATTGCAAACACTTAAGTGTAGTAGTAGATAAACACTGGTTTCGTAACAATTTCTTACAAAATATAGATGAATCAGCGACTAAAAAACATGTTGACAAGCAACTTAATTTAATAAAACTAACAAAACTATGGCGAAATGAAATTATAAAATGCAACAATAACCTACTTTACTTTTTGCAATTTAATTTTGAATCTACAAAATCGAATGTTTTACGAAAATGAATGAACGATTCAATTTTTGACTCAGCCTGGTTAAGTAATTCTAAAAACCTATCTGTGTTTATAACTGCATCTTAGTGTATCGTTTATTCATTTTTACTTTTGTTAAATACCGTATATCGGGTGTCCCACGTAACATTTTCGGGCGCAACAACTCAGGTACTTTTGAAGGGATTTTTATGAAATTTAAAACAGGTGCAATATAACAGGTAAAGATTATGCTGATGACAAAAAAACTATTTTATCGTACAAAAGACGAATTTTAACACAGCTTCAGGTTTTTAAAAATTATGCAAAATTACGTTATAACTTTAAGCAACTAAAATAACGCCTGTGTGCGAAAAATTAATTAAATCACTGTTTTTGTTTAAAAGAATTACGTTAATAAAAAAGCAAACATTAATTCATTTGTTTTATTAACTTTAATTAATAGTGCTGTCGGTGCAAAACAATTGCCTGCGTCGCCGAGCTCAATTTTGTACACTCCTGACATTTTTGTCAAGATCTGACAAGTTATTGAGAATGGTTCGCTTCTCTTTAATCTAGGACTCTTATCGAACGGTATCCTGATGACGAATTTACCAAACTCAAAGTACAGAGAATAATAAACTTATTTGAAAATACGGGAAGTGTACAAGACCTAAAACGAGTGAAAAAACAGGATGTTAAATACACGTAGCAAAATTATTTCCATTCAAGGTAGAATTAATTCCTGAACCTGAAGCAACTTTGCACCTTCGAAAAGGTTGTAGTGGAGCAACTGAAAATTGGTATTTTCTTAAAATTCGTAAAACGATACTTGGCAAACATGTATCAAATTCCCGCAAAGATGTCCAAAATGTGTGGATATCAGTTTTTTGTTTCATGGCTACCTATCCTTTAATATTTTTGGAATTATTTGCGCAATAATTTATCGTTTTTTGTCTAACCAGACGTATTTCGGAGATGAATTTTTGCATACAGTATTTATTATTCATGTTTAATCGAGTGATGCGAAACTTAATTAATTCAAAATTAAATTAAGGCATGGAAAATTTACTTTTCCAAGGTAATGATTATTCTCACCGGTTCATATTAATCCCCACTTATCAAAATACCTAGATTTCAAATTTCATAACAATCCGTTCAAAAATACCTGAGTTACTGCGCCCAAAAGTGTTCCGTGGGACACCCGATATATATTAATGACGTGATAAGCTATGTTGATTCTATTTGTTATGATGATCAGAGCAGGTGATCTAAAACTGGTGAAAATTGCGAAATCTTATTGAGATTGTTTAGATAAAATAATTACATGGTATAGTAATAATGAATTAGGGATTAATATTGATAAATGTAAGGTAAAATGTCCTTTACACGAAAAGTTAATAACATAGACTTTTATTATAATATAACAGGCATACTAACTACTAGAAGGATGTAATCAAATCAAAGGTCTTGGAGCAATACTTACACTAACTTTGTCTTTCAGCTCGCATATTGAACAAATTGTAAATAGTGCATCACTCTATAACTTTTTTTGAATCAACAGATTGATTCTTCTAAATAGGGCAAGTATTTTTTATAAGCAGTATTAATAAATACTTTAGAGTTGAAACGAAAGGTTTGTGAAGAACATGATTCGCTTTCGGGCTTTAAATCGAGTCAGTGTCGGTATTTGTACTTGTGATATTTTCCTAGGCAACATGTTCTCAGGTAACCTCTTAATTTAATCGCGTAAATGAATAGTTCTTATGATATTTTATATGAATGTTTTAAACGTACGATTTTGACAATTTTTGGAAAAACTTAAAAGTTGTAAAATTTTATTTTAAAAGGATGTCGTAGAAAATTTGAGTCCTTGATAAAGCCCCAGAACAACAAATTCAGAACAGAATTTCCAATTTGTAGTACACATATTTATTTAACACTTCAGTTTGAGATATGTAATTGAAAATGTCACCTGATTTAAAAATTTGTTTATCTTATCAAAAACAAATAACGAATTTATTACCGCCCATATATAAAAGGATGTTTTTCTCTTACTTGTGTAAAAATAAGTGTGTAGTTAAAAACCTGCGATCTGCTAGTGACTTAAATTTGAAGAATGGAGAAAATTGAGGTGAGTGTTTTTTTTTTATTCATACTTAGAGGTACACAGAAACCCAAAAACTTGGTTGCTAAGAGTGCAATAATTTTTATTTAAGTGCATTACTAAAATTCTAAATCAACGAATAATATTTTTTTGTGTAATGTTTTTTCTGGTTTCACTTTCCTTATTTTAAGTCATGATGTTCACAGTTTTCCCCGATCGTTGTACAGAGTGACAAGAACAATCAACTTTTATAAATTTTATTCACTAAATTAATTTTCACATATATTTATATTTTCCAAAAACGTTAAACTTGTGTATGCTATAATCAAAAATATGTCGAAGTCTATGTTTGTTTTTACTTACATTTTAATAGTTGCCGTGTTGTCTTCTTCAAACTTGAATATTATATTTATAGCTTTCATTTATTTGACGCAAGATGAAGTCTCGAATCGTGGTCTAGTTTCTCTCGATTTAATTTTATTGTTTAAGACATCATGATATTTAAGTTTAAAGGAGACTCCCAGCCGGTAGCCGAAACGTAACAAGATAAAAATGTTTTAGTTTTTTTCATTGACCTCAAAAAAACCACACAAGGTTTACTTTCGTTTTGATCAAATAAAAAAAACAGAAAATCGTACAACTATTCTTCCACATACGATAAAAATTATTATAAATCGAATAATGGCAAAAATATTGTTAAGTATAAATTAAAACACTAAAAAAATGCTATTACAGTTCATAATTTTTTTGGTCATGCAAACACAATAATTACGGAATAATTCCTTTTCAAAGCAGTTGTTCGTCTATTCCTTTCCAGACTTTTAAAAAACGGGCCGGTACAACTGACAAAGGCAGAGATTATGAAGATGTGGTTCTCGCCAATGTCGTACTAAGACTATTAAACGACCCCAGAGTAAAAACGTTCCAGATCTCATCAAACGATGATGATTTTGGAGCGTTTGATGATCTGGTCATTAAGCTTGCATCGGATAAGGAAAACGACATTCAAGTTAAAGCGGTGCAGTTAAAACACACCGAGAGGAAAGTACTCTCTCTAGAAAATTTGCGAACCGTAAAAGGAGACTTCAGTATTAAAAAATACTACAAAAGTTACACAGAAATTAAGAAGCAAATAGATGAACTGATTTTGTTCACAAACCGCCCGTTTAACCCTCCCGACAACGCAACCTTCCAACTTGAGGGCGAAGGATTTTACGTAAAGCTTATTAAAAGAGAAGTTAACGCAGACATTTCAGAAAATATTAGTCATGTTTATCAGTTTGAAATAGTAGATGATCAATCGACAGTGGAGAATTATCAAGAATATCAGGAATTTTTTCGCAAGTTCTTTCTCTATACCGACCAAGAAAATTGTGATACTCTAAAAAAAATAACCGCTAATAAATTCAAAACAACATATTGTTCAGATGACGAAACATTCGGTAAATTTCTCAAAACAGTTGCTGAATGGAACGTCCAAGATGGGAATAAAGAAAAGATAGATAAAAAGTGGACGCAGCTGGTACTTGCGTTACATCTTCTGTCCTCTCATACTGAGTCTCTATCTTTCGGTCCAGTTAATGAGAAAATGAAAATTTTTCGGGAAGCGATTTCCTTCTTTGATGTCACACTGATTGAAGACAAATCGGTCGAAACGGTTAAGCAACTGTGGGGTGATGTTGGAAAGAAAAAAACTATTGACTTTAAGGACTTAAATAAAGTTAGAAAGAGATATCTACCTACCCTCGGACATATTAATGACACCGACATCGGCACCATAGATCCCAAGGCGTTCACTCAACTTTTGTGGGTAATGGACGAATGTCCATTAATTTTACGTGCATGGGAAAAGATGAAAAATGTAATACAGCTGTGTCCCTACAAAAAATTTGTTTTGGTTGGCGGAACTAAAGATGAGGAATGGCTGGAAAACTATTCCGTGTTCCAAAATCTGTCAGACTTAAGTTTGAAGCCCCAAATTCGTAAAAATGTTATACAAAATTTTACCATTTCGATTCAGGGAAAGGGCGAACTTGATCTTGTGACATCTTTTGGCAGCAATGAAGATATTTTCAAAAATGTTTCAACTGATACCCTCGTCGAAATGCTGAACGGTACATGTTGCATAGGAGGAACAAAGGAAACACTAGCCGAACCTTATATAGAACGCTATATTTCGCGAAATGTCGTTGATAATAGATATTTAGAAAAAGTTCACGAAAACACAATTATTATTTTAAATTCTGACAATAATTTAAATAAAGTTAAAAGCAAACTCGATAAATGTGAATTAATTGACATTAATAACTTCTTACTGAAAAAAAATCAGAATGGCGAAGATCTAACAAATAATGACGTTAACGTTAATGAACCGAACAGAATTTACGTAGGTAACAGAAAAAAAAAACAGTTAAATTCTAATCTAAACGACAATAAATATAATTCTCGTTTTGATAAATCAAGTTTTGCCAACACAGTTTACGTTGGTTCTAGGCATTATAATAATTCTGAACTTCAACAAATTTATAACAAGCACAAAAAGACAAAACAATTTCATTATTTTAAAATTTTGAATGATGGAAATTTAGAATGGCTATGTAGCAGAGGTGATGTTAGTGATGTAGAGGCCTACAAATTGCCTGACGAACATCCAACCGAAGAAAATGCCTTGTGGTCTTCTCGGTTAGATTATAACATCAATCTTATAATTGGAGATCCGGGAATGGGTAAGAGTGAATTAGTGAAAAGCTTAAAAAATACATGTTCTCGCGAATATTGGACAGTTTTAATTAATCCCAATGACGTTAATTTATTTTTTCGCAATCACAATTTCTCTAAAACGGAAAATTCTTCAGATTTATTTGTAAAATTTATCACAAATAAAAAACATGAGTCGCTCAAAAAACTAGATCTAATGTTTTTCGAAATGTGCATAAAGAAAAACAACGTAATTTACGTGTGGGACGCACTCGATGAAATTTTAAATGATAAATTAGATGCCGCTGTAAATATAATTCTCCATCTTTCAACCAAAGGGTTTCGTCAGTGGGTTACAAGCAGACGTCGTTTAAAATCAACTCTAGAAAATAAATTCAATTTGTTGTCACTTAGTATAAATCAATTTAACGAACAAGAACAAGAAAAATATATCAGAAAACGTCTAGAATCTTTTAATTCAGAATACAACATTGACGAAACGCTGGAAAAAATTAAGTCATCTTTTGCGATTGTAGAACACATAGATATACTAGGTATCCCTCTGCAAATATTCATGCTTACCGAACTGTTCCGTGAAAATACCGAAAAATATTTGAAACTAATGGACAACACATTCGTTTTGACTGACCTTTACGAATATTTTATTCAGGAAAAATTTAATAACTTTTACAAAAACAAAATGGGATACGATTTAGAAAATCCACAATTGGAAAATGTAATCAGTCAAAAAAAACTAAAGGCTACAGAATATTACGAAAGTGTGTCCTTTAGGGTAATATTTGACGAAGAAATTTTGCAGAGAATGAATATTAATTACGAAAAATGTGCACAAAAACTTTTGCGAAGTTATGCCTCTCTGGGTCTTATAAATGACTTTCAAAATGATGTTCCACGTTTTGTGCATAGTTCCTTCGGTGAATATCTAGTTGCTAGGTACTTTTCAAAAAATATTAATAATTTTAAAGACACAATTGCGGACTTGTTGTTTGACGCAAGATATAATAACGTTCGATTCTTTTTTGACATGTTGTTGGCTAAAAACTCGAGAGCTCACATTGCTGTATTGTATAAACGTTACGAGTTACTTAAAACGTACGACGACGAAATTTTAAATAGCAAAGATGAAGTTGGCAGAAGTGCCTTACATTTGATATCGTCATGGGGGCAAAGACATCCGCGTGTAAAAGTAACGCGTGAAAAGAACAAGTGTATTGTGAACGAAAATAGCAATTTCGATAAAAAAAAGGAAACGGAAATATACTTTGAAACGATGACGTATTTGCAAAATACGAATGATGTTGGCGAACGTGATATGTTGTTAGATGCGACTGCTTTGGCTTATGCCCGAAAAAGTGAGAGCCTAGGAGCACAAATACAATTACTTCAAACAAAAAAGAATGAGTTGAGACAATCTCGCGATGACATAATTAATATCATATATTATTCTGCTTTACTGGGTTACGACGACTTGTGTAAACACTTCACAGTGGAAGAGTTGAATAATTTTTGGTGCGAGGTGGAAATTGTTACTGCAGAAAATGCTGAAACACCTCTGTGGCTGGCCTGTCAAAACGGTAATTTAAATATCGTTGAGTATTTTGTAAGATCTGATGTCGACATCAACTGTGTTAATATATTCGGTGAGACACCACTTTACGCTGCTTCCTTCAACGGTCACGAAAAAGTTGTCGAATACTTGGCGACAGTCGGCGCCGAAATCAATCGCGCAATGAATGACGGTCGCACACCACTTTTCACAGCTTCTTTTAACGGTCACGAAAAAGCTGTCCAATACTTGGCGACAGTCGGCGCCGAAATCAATCGCGCTGAAAAAAACTGTGCGACGCCACTTTACGCAGCTTCACAAAACGGTCACGAAAAAGTTGTCGAATACTTGGCGACAGTCGGCGCCGAAATCAATCGCGCTAATAAAAACGGTGTGACACCACTTTACGTAGCTTCACAAAACGGTCACGAAAAAGTTGTCGAATACTTGGCGACAGTCGGCGCCGAAATCAATCGCGCTAATAAAAACGGTGTGACACCACTTTACGTAGCTTCACAAAACGGTCACGAAAAAGTTGTCGAATACTTGGCGACAGTCGGCGCCGAAATCAATCGCGCTATGAATGACGGTGCGACACCACTTTTCATAGCTTCACAAAACGGTCACGAAAAAGTTGTCGAATACTTGGCGACAGTCGGCGCCGAAATCAATCGCGCTATGAATGACGGTACGACACCACTTTTCATAGCTTCACAAAACGGTCACGAAAAAGTTGTCGAATACTTGGCGACAGCCGGCGCCGAAATCAATCGCGCTATGAATGACGGTGCGACACCACTTTTCATAGCTTCAGAAAACGGTCACGAAAAAGTTGTCGAATACTTGGCGACAGTCGGCGCCGAAGTCAATCATGCTGATAACGCGGGTTTTACACCAGTTTACGTAGCTTCACAAAACGGTCACGAAAAAGTTGTCGAATACTTGGCGACAGTCGGCGCCGAAATCAATCGCGCTATGAATGACGGTGCGACACCACTTTTCATTGCTTCACAAAACGGTCACGAAAAAGTTGTCGAATACTTGGCGACAGTCGGCGCCGAAATCAATCGCGCTATGAATGACGGTACGACACCACTTTTCATAGCTTCACAAAACGGTCACGAAAAAGTTGTCGAATACTTGGCGACAGTCGGCGCCGAAATCAATAGCGCTAATAAATACGGTTGGACACCGCTTTACGTAGCTTCACAAAACGGTCACGAAAAAGTTGTCGAATACTTGGCGACAGTCGGCGCCGAAATCAATCGCGCACAGAATGACGGTCGCACACCACTTTTCACAGCTTCTTTTAACGGTCACGAAAAAGCTGTCGAATACTTGGCGACAGTCGGCGCCGAAATCAATTGCGCTGAAAAAAACGGTGCGACGCCACTTTACGCAGCTTCGTTTAACGGTCACGAAAAAGCTGTCGAATACTTGGTGACAGTCGGCGCCGAAATCAATCGCGCAATGAATGACGGTTTTACACCACTTTACGTAGCTTCACAGAACGGTCACGAAAAAGTTGTCGAATACTTGGCGACAGTCGGCGCCGAAATCAATCGCGCAATGAATGACGGTCGCACACCACTTTTCACAGCTTCTTTTAACGGTCACGAAAAAGCTGTCCAATACTTGGCGACAGTCGGCGCCGAAATCAATCGCGCTGAAAAAAACCGTGCGACACCACTTTACGCAGCTTCACAAAACGGTCACGAAAAAGTTGTCGAATACTTGGCGACAGTCGGTGCCGAAATCAATCGCGCTAATAAAAACGGTGTGACACCACTTTTCGTAGCTTCACAAAACGGTCACGAAAAAGTTGTCGAATACTTGGCGACAGTCGGCGCCGAAATCAATCGCGCTAATAAAAACGGTGTGACACCACTTTACATAGCTTCACAAAACGGTCACGAAAAAGTTGTCGAATACTTGACGACAGTCGGCGCCGAAACCAATCGTGCTGATAACGCGGGTTTTACACCAGTTTACGTAGCTTCACAAAACGGTCACGAAAAAGTTGTCGAATACTTGGCGACAGTCGGCGCCGAAATCAATCGCGCTATGAATGACGGTGCGACACCACTTTTCATAGCTTCACAAAACGGTCACGAAAAGGTTGTCGAATACTTGGCGACAGTCGGCGCCGAAATCAATAGCGCTACTAATGAGGGTTGGACACCACTTCACTTAGCTTCACAAAACGGTCACGAAAAAGTTGTCGAATACTTGGCGACAGTCGGCGCCGAAATCAATCGCGCTAATAAAAACGGTGCGACACCACTTTTTGTAGCTTCACAAAACGGTCACGAAAAAGTTGTCGAATACTTGGCGACAGTCGGCGCCGAAATCAATCGCGCACAGAATGACGGTCGCACACCACTTTTCACAGCTTCTTTTAACGGACACGAAAAAGCTGTCGAATACTTGGCGACAGTCGGCGCCGAAATCAATCGCGCTGAAAAAAACGGTGCGACGCCACTTTACGCAGCTTCGTTTAACGGTCACGAAAAAGCTGTCGAATACTTGGCGACAGTCGGCGCCGAAATCAATCGCGCTACTAATGACGGTTTCACACCACTTTACGTAGCTTCACAAAACGGTCACGAAAAAGTTGTCGAATACTTGGCGACAGTCGGCGCCGAAATCAATAGCGCTAATAAATACGGTTCGACACCGCTTTACTTAGCTTCACAAAACGGTCACGAAAAAGTTGTCGAATACTTGGCGATAGTCGGCGCCGAAATCAATCGCGCAGTGAATGACGGTCGCACACCACTTTTCACAGCTTCTTTTAACGGTCACGAAAAAGTTGTCGAATACTTGGCGACATTCGGCGCCGAAATCAATCGCGCTACTGATGACGGTCGCACACCACTTTACGTAGCTTCACAAAAAGGTCACGAAAAAGTTGTCGAATACTTGGCGACAGTCGGCGCCGAAATCAATCGCGCTGAAAAAAACGGTGCGACACCACTTTACGCAGCTTCTTTTAACGGTCACGAAAAAGTTGTCGAATACTTGGCGACAGTCGGCGCCGAAATCAATCGCGCTGAAAAAAACGGTGCGACACCACTTTACGCAGCATCGTTTAACGGTCACGAAAAAGCTGTCGAATACTTGGCGACAGTCGGCGCCGAAATCAATCGCGCACAGAATGACGGTTTTACACCACTTTACGTAGCTTCACAAAACGGTCACGAAAAAGTTGTCGAATACTTGGCGACAGTCGGCGCCGAAATCAATCGCGCAATGAATGACGGTTTTACACCACTTTACGTAGCTTCACAGAACGGTCACGAAAAAGTTGTCGAATACTTGGCGACAGTCGGCGCCGAAATCAATCGCGCTATGAATGACGGTGCGACACCACTTTTCATAGCTTCACAAAACGGTCACGAAAAAGTTGTCGAATACTTGGCGACATTTGGCGCCGAAATCAATCGCGCTATGAATGACGGTACGACACCACTTTTCATAGCTTCACAAAACGGTCACGAAAAAGTTGTCGAATACTTGGCGAGATTCGGCGCCGAAATCAATCGCGCTACTGATGACGGTCGCACACTACTTTACGTAGCTTCACGAAAAGGTCACGAAAAAGTTGTCGAATACTTGGCGACAGTCGGCGCCGAAATCAATCGCGCTATGAATGACGGTGCGACACCACTTTACGCAGCTTCTTTTAACGGTCACGAAAAAGTTGTCGAATACTTGGCGACAGTCGGCGCCGAAATCAATCGCGCTACTAATGACGGTTTCACACCACTTTACGTAGCTTCACAGAACGGTCACGAAAAAGTTGTCGAATACTTGGCGACATTTGGCGCCGAAATCAATCGCGCTACTGATGACGGTCGCACACCACTTTTCACAGCTTCTTTTAACGGTCACGAAAAAGTTGTCGAGTACTTGGCGACAGTCGGCGCCGAAATCAATCGCGCTGATAATGACGGTTTCACACCACTTTACGTAGCTTCACAAAACGGTCACGAAAAAGTTGTCGAATACTTGGCGACAGTCGGCGCCGAAATCAATCGCGCTACTGATGACGGTCGCACACCACTTTTCACAGCTTCTTTTAACGGTCACGAAAAAGTTGTCGAATACTTGGCGACAGTCGGCGCCGAAATCAATCACGCTAATCAAAACGGTGTGACACCACTTTACGCAGCTTCTTTTAACGGTCACGAAAAAGTTGTCGAATACTTGGCGACAGCCGGCGCCGAAATCAATCGCGCCACTAATAACGGTTTCACACCACTTTACGTAGCTTCACAAAACGGTCACGAAAAAGTTGTCGAATACTTGGCGACAGCCGGCGCCGAAATCAATCGCGCTGATAATGACGGTTTCACACCACTTTACGTAGCTTCACAAAACGGTCACGAAAAAGTTGTCGAATACTTGGCGACAGTCGGCGCCGAAATCAATCGCGCTACTGATGACGGTCGCACACTACTTTTCACAGCTTCTTTTAACGGTCACGAAAAAGTTGTCGAGTACTTGGCGACAGTCGGCGCCGAAATCAATCGCGCTGATAATGACGGTTTCACACCACTTTACGTAGCTTCACAAAACGGTCACGAAAAAGTTGTCGAATACTTGGCGACAGCCGGCGCCGAAATCAATCGCGCCACTAATAACGGTTTCACACCACTTTACGTAGCTTCACAAAACGGTCACGAAAAAGTTGTCGAATACTTGGCGACAGCCGGCGCCGAAATCAATCGCGCTGATAATGACGGTTTCACACCACTTTACGTAGCTTCACAAAACGGTCACGAAAAAGTTGTCGAATACTTGGCGACAGTCGGCGCCGAAATCAATCGCGCTACTGATGACGGTCGCACACCACTTTTCACAGCTTCTTTTAACGGTCACGAAAAAGTTGTCGAGTACTTGGCGACAGTCGGCGCCGAAATCAATCGCGCTGATAATGACGGTTTCACACCACTTTACGTAGCTTCACAAAACGGTCACGAAACAGTTGTCGAATACTTGGCGACAGCCGGCGCCGAAATCAATCGCGCCACTAATAACGGTTTCACACCACTTTACGTAGCTTCACAAAACGGTCACGAAAAAGTTGTCGAATACTTGGCGACAGCCGGCGCCGAAATCAATCGCGCTGATAATGACGGTTTCACACCACTTTACGTAGCTTCACAAAACGGTCACGAAAAAGTTGTCGAATACTTGGCGACAGTCGGCGCCGAAATCAATCGCGCTACTGATGACGGTCGCACACCACTTTTCACAGCTTCTTTTAACGGTCACGAAAAAGTTGTCGAATACTTGGCGACAGTCGGCGCCGAAATCAATCACGCTAATCAAAACGGTGTGACACCACTTTACGCAGCTTCTTTTAACGGTCACGAAAAAGTTGTCGAATACTTGGCGACAGTCGGCGCCGAAATCAATCGCGCTGATAATGACGGTTTCACACCACTTTACGTAGCTTCACAAAACGGTCACGAAAAAGTTGTCGAATACTTGGTGACAGTCGGCGCCGAAATCAATCGTGCTGAAGAAACCGGTGCTACACCACTTTTCGTAGCTTCACACCAAGGTCACGAAAAAGTTGTCGAATACCTGGCGACAGTCGGCGCGGAAATCAATCGCGCACAGAATGACGGTTGCACACCACTTTACATAGCTTCTTATAACGGCCACGAAAAAGTTGTCAAATACTTGGCGACAGTCGGCGCCGAAATCAATCACGCTGTTAACGACCGTTGGACATCACTTTACGTAGCTTCTCAGAATGGCCACAAAAAAATTGTCGAATATTTGGCTACAGTCGGTGCTGACATTAATCGCGGGGATATCGACGGTTGGACACCACTTTACGTAGCTACTTTGCACGGCCGCGAAAAAGTTGTTGAATATTTGACGTCAGTCGGCGCCGACATCAATCGCGCTGATGATGACGGAAAAACACCACTTGACGTAGCTTCTGAAAAAGGTCACCAAAAAATTGTAGAATGCTTAAGAAGAGCCGGCGCTCAAACCGGGCATCATTCCTTTACATGAGACCGTCTGAAAAAATACTTCCCCAAACCATCCAAATGCAGTATAATGTAGTAAGGAGACTGCTCTTACTTAAAAATAGTATCTCATTAAATTAGAATAATATCCAAAAAAAACCAACCTAGTTATATCCTAAGGATTTTCAAAAAAAAATTCGGTTTATTCCGAGGTTTTTAATTAATTTAAATAATAATGTAAAGTCTGTAAATTGTTATCGTTTCCGGAAACAATAATGGATGTATGTTTTATTTTGAAAGCAGAGACCTATTAATGTCGTGAAAATTTTGAGTACGTCAATTTGCAGCCAATATTTTGCCCGTCCTTAACACATAACACGCCGATTAGCTAAATTTGAAAATTATTAAACACTTCAGTTGTGAAAAGTAGTGTATGCAGAGTCGAAGTGCATACAAAATATTAATTAATTAACAGAATCCCATGCACTTGTAATATTAATTTCTAGTGGAAATTGTTTTAACATGTCTGGTTAGAATTTGAATATGGCCTGAGACAGCTCGCCATACATCAGTATGCTTAGTTTTCCACAAAAAATAACCCACATTGTAGTTAAAAACAGAAAACTAGGGAGCATAGCACCAATTTAAACTTTTGCGACAATTCAAACGTATCTTCTACCCGGACAAATGTATTCACTCATTCCAGTATCCTTGATTATAGGTTAATAATAATAATAATAATAATAATAAATCTTTATTTCCTACGGTATTTACACCCAGTTACAGGAAATATTGACAAATTATTGATTAATAGAGTGAGAGTGAATACATAAAGATAACAAAATAATTATAATATTGATTACAAACCAAAAAACCCTAAAAAATAGAAAAAGAAATAAAAAACTAAAAATAAACCTATTTAACAGAAATGGTTTTTAATACAATTAGTAATGAACTTAATACAGTCACTATAAATATCACAATAGACGGCAATATCATTGAATAATTCGCACATTAATGCAATAGGCGATCTTACTAATACGTTGGTCCTGCTTGATTCACAATAGAATATGTTAATTTGTCTAGTATTAATCCTTGGAATTAAAAAATTGAGTTGTTCTAAAAGTAACGGACAGTCTATTTTATTATTTATAAGATGTATTAAAAATTTTATTATTATTATAATTCTCCTTAAGTGGAGAGGTAAAAAGTCAAATCTTGAGAGTAAAGCAGAATGGTCATAGCCTCTTGCTGGGTAAGTACCATCAAGTAGAATACATAGGAATTTTAAAAAAACACGTTGGACGTGTTCAATATGTTGAATGTGAATCTGATATATTGGGAACCAAATTAAAGCTCCGTATTCAAGTTGTGATCGCACCAGAGAAAAGAATAGAGAACACAAGGTTCGTGTATAAGTAAAATCTCGGCAATTTCTGTAGATAAATCCGTACGTTCTAAAACTTTTGGATACCATCTCATGAATGTGCTCTATAAACTGAAGTTTAGTATCAAAGAGTATACCTAGATCTTTAATCCTTTCAGTTCTATTTATTAAACTGTTTTCAATTCGATAGGGAAAAATGATGTTCTCCTTTTTTCTAGAGTAGGTCATAGCAAAGCATTTATCTTTGTTTAACGACAATCTATTTTTGGAAGCCCAGTCGCATACTGAGCATATATTTTGTTGTAAATGTTGGCAGTCCAATGTTGAGGTAATTTTTAAAAACAATTTAAGGTCATCTGCAAAAAATAATTTCTGACATGAAATAACGTCTCCAAGATCATCTATAAAAAGTAGGAAAAGCAAGGGGCCGAGGTTAGAGCCTTGTGGAACACCAGAGGCGGGCTTAATAATATTCGATTTGTAATTGGGATATTTAACATATTGTTCACGATTAAATAAGTATGATTCAAAAAGTTTTAAAAGACCTTCTGAGAAACTAAATCTTTTTAATTTGTCGAGTAGTATAAAGTGATCAATTTGATCAAACGCTTTCTGAAAGTCAAAATAAATAGTATCTACTTGCTGACGATTATCAATTGCTTTGCACGTAAACTGGGTAAAGCAGGCTAAGTTTGAAATTGTGGAACGTTTCACCATAAATCCATGTTGGTGAGGCGACAAAAACATTTTAATTGAGGAATAGATATGTTTATAAATTATAGATTCAAAAACTTTGGAAAAATTGCAAAGAAGAGAGATAGGTCTATAATTCTTTATTTCTGCTACATCTCCTTTTTTGTATACTGGACGATATTAACTGACAAATAAAGCGTAATACCTACTTACTGACAATTCTTCTATATCACTTCATCACGTTTGCTTAGTCCTCTGTCACGAGTGATTACAAAATATTCCCGAAGTTGTAACTCCAATAAAAAATTGTAATCGATTATCACCTTTGTAGCGTATGCATTTTAATTGTTGATTTAAAAAAAAAAAAAAAACATGGAAAAGTTATTAATGTCGCTTACAATCACCAATAAAACAAAATTTTTGTAAAAAACATAAGTACATAACAATTGCGTTTTCTCTATTATTAAACAAAAAGAACGCCATGCATGGTACCGTTTAGTATTATCTACAAATTAGCTGAATCGATTTGTAAGAAAATTGAAAAGAAGGAAATGGCAATATCACAATTAAATAATGGAAATATTTTGAGGTAAATACGTTACATGTTGTGAAAATAAAATAAAATAAAATTTAATTTTGCAGGACATTCTAAATTACTGGTTGCAAAGAAATAATTCAGCTTATTTATATAATCTACGTTTCTAGGTATATTACGAGATCCAACACAATGATTGCGAAATAACGAAGGTAACAAAATAAATCAACAATTTCCACAATTCATAATTTGGTTTTAGCATTCTAACAAAGTTGGATGTATTAATCGGAATTCTCGATAAAACTCTTACAAATATCAAAAGGATAGGAACCGACGATTCGATAAACTGACGTAAGAATTCCATCAAGCAACGTTCGAATACAGGACTAAAATTACCAAAGTGGGACAATGTTTTCGAGGATTCTTTATTATGTGTGAGTAAAATTTGTTATTAATTTTGCTTAATGTTGTTGAACATGGTTACTTTGTGCCCGCATTTTTTAAACACTAATAACAATAATGAGTCTATTTTTGTATCATTTCATTATATACACTTTTTCAGTGACAGACAAATTATCGGGAATTGACATTTCTCAGAGAGCTTCCACCTCAAAACAGTCATGTCGTCATCCTTTGGGAAACCGCCCTGCGAATTTCTGTTCCTATAAAAATTCTAGCTTAAAGGGATTTTTTTTTTGTTCTGAGTGTCATGCATGGAAAAGTATTCCAAAAATGTAGTACGCCTTGTTTCACGTTAAACAAAACCGATGACACGATCTTACGAAGGTATTTTAATCTTGGGGTCTACAAATGAAATACTGAGTAACTGATCAAATATTTTAGGAAACATGGTCTCAACGGGGTTGAACAATTTATTAAAAAAATGAAATTTCAGCAACAGCTACACAACGTAATGTTTGGGGCTTAGTCTGGACAGATTTTCTGATGAAACGTTGGAAAGGAGCACCACAATAATACATGATTTTTCTACTGAAATTTAGCGATGGCTTCCCAACGTAATCGTCTTCGAAAAGCATGAAAAATATTAGGGATTTTTGAGATTGGCAGAGGTATATTTTTATGTTCAAACGAAAAGAATAACTATTTTACTATTTATTACACAATTGTTACGATATTTCTATTAATAATAGTTTGTAACAACGTAAGTCTATTGATAATATATCTTTACAGGAATAGAAGAAAAACTTAGAGTCAAAATGCGCCATCAGTCTAATCCAGAAGAAAGTCAAATATGAAAACAAAAGTGTCCTACGTATGTCTAAAAAATATATATCTTAACTTAGTGGTATACTTATGTCAAAAAGCAATTGTTATTTCCATTAATAATAGTTTGTAAAAAAAACAAAAATGTGTATGTATTATATAAATATTAAGCAAGAGGTGTATATTAAATGTATAAAAATTGGTATTTATTCACCGTAAATTACCGAAAGACGGATTGTACTGAAGCATCCTGATTTAGAGTTACAATTTAAAATAATTTCGCCCGCTTGACGAATGGCTACTTTCATGTTTTTTCAACGTTTCATAACCCCTCGAGTATAAAAAAGCAATCTGTCATTTTCGTTCATCTTCTTGTCTGTCGCCTGTGTCGATTTTTAGACAGAAATTGTATGACAACATTTTATAGAAAAATATGAGTGTGACTGACAGGTGTTATGTGTTTTTTTGTAAGAGTGGAGACAAATTTTTTTTAATCCCAGAGTTGTTTTTATATAATTTCCATATATTTACTTTAAACATTTTCAGTCTGAAGGAGACGACATGCAGTTGATATTAAGAGAGTGAACCAAATTAACCACGATTTGATAACAAAAGTACACACGAAAATTATAACAAATAAGAATAAATAGAAATTATAGGACGAAGAACAAAAATAAAATACTCTAAAACTAAACAAAAAAAAAGGAACGATTAAACAGTGAAAAAACTACCGTAAAACAAAATTACTATTATAAATACCATGATTGAAATGACGAAAACTATAACAGTAAGAACAATTATGTGGATGTATTGCTAATAACAACAGTGCCGTATTCTCAGAATTTTAGCTAATGATGTAAGCCCTCTTTGATGTAAACAATAAAATAAAATAAGCATCTCGGTGTCAGCAAATTTACAAAGTATGAACGCACCAATAAACCACAAATGCAGACCTACACTATTTTTTATATTTTAGCACAATTTTGAAATTACTTCCTCACGTTTTTGGAAAGAATAAAATATTTGATTGACGATTTACCACGATCATGACAACCGTAATGTAGAAAGATTTTAAATAGTAAAACGTTTTGATTTTTTTTTTTTTTTTAAATTAGACATCTAATGTAAGGTTAGATTAGTAAACCACAAGTACAGAAGCATATTTTTTCATTAATTTTAAGTAAGATTTAATTTGTAAAATTTTGAGATGACGTCGTTAGTTGTTGCTAGAGTTGGTGAGAAAAATTTTGAGCTAATTAATAAAACTTTTCTAAAGTCTATTAAGCTTAGTTTTATTATAAAAGACTTTGATCAGTCCATGTAGGACATGGTAAAAACAGAGCTAACATTTAGTGGAACGAAATGTCAGATCTTCTAAAATCTAACTTTACGAACAAAAATTTCGAGTTTTTAATAAAAAATGAATGAAAACCCCCAAAAAGTTTTAAAGACACATTTCGAACGGTCTTACAAAAATCCGTTCAGTGGACCTGAGTTCCGAGGTAGAAACCTTACACCAGACCAAAGGACTTTTCAAGGAACCCTAAAAACCAGAACTCTTAGGTCCCCTCTTCTGAACTTCTCTATAGTCACTTGGTAGCACCGTTCTGCGTTGCTGAACTTCATTAATAATTTCTTCTTGCGTTTTTTTAAGTTGACTTTTAATCTCGTTAAAATTTAAAATTGCACAACTTTCGTTCTTCATTTTTTCAAAATGAATTTGCAGATTCGACTATTCCATCTAGTTGTTTTTCGTGGATTCTCTTAGTTGTTCCGTTGGATTCTTTTAACGCGCTAAGAACTACTTCTAGTTGTAGTTCTATTTTCGAAAAGCCATTGTCTATGGGTTTGTGGAAACTATGGAAAACTAACAAAAATGGTAAAATGTATTAGTGGTTTTTGACAGAAATAGGTTTTGTAAACATGATAAGTATGAACAATTGAACATGGCCGACTAGTATAAAGATTATGGCCTGTCCAGAGGTACCATACGTGCTGCCATCTATTAATAATTCAAAAACGACAAAAGAATTATTAACACTTTTTGAAAGGCACAAAGGCATTCATACCGAAACAAACCACCATTACATGTTTTGAAGTCTCATAATGTCAAGTCAAATTAAAATTATACTAAATTATTAAGTGTAATTATTAATAGATGGCAACACCTATGGTACCTCTTGGACAGAGGCCATAATCTTTATACTAGTCGGCCATGGTATTGTAATGGAATGAGTAAGTGTCAATTCGTTAGTCAGCAAATGCTTGTCCATTGCAAGGAACTAGGTCATCAATAGTGTATAAAAGTGTAAGTGATAGCTAAAACAAGAGAGTGTTAAGTCTGGGCTTGTAGTGGTAATATGGGTAAATAAATTGATAATAAATATGTATTGGTGTTATTAACCTACCACCGTCGGGACTATTAGAGAGGACATCACATGGCGATCCTGCCAGTCGGAAGAAAGAGAAAAAAAAAAAAGTGTGTTAATACGGCAGTACTACTGCTATTGTTAAAATGGCTAGAATAGAAGATCATGCAAGACGTTGTGAGAGCCAAAGTCAAGAGGTCGTATAGGAGAAGGAGAAACAGCGATACCATCGGAGAAGAAGATGTCTGCGTCGGAATCCTGTCCCAATGGACTCCACCAGTGTGTGAGTGTGAAGTGCGGGAGTGAAAAAAAAAAAGGCCTGTAAATAGTTTTTCTCCTAAGTGTAGTAGTGTAAATGACCAGTTTAGACGAACTCAAAAGTCTACAGATAGAAGTAAGCTTATTCAGAAGAAACTTGAAGAAGGACAATATCACAAGACGTCGGGATGTGCAGGTACTTCAATGTAAAAGTGAGAAACTCAAAGAATTGCGGCAGAAATTTATCGTTGCTAAGAATAATTTTAACAGTCAAGTGCATGTTTTAGATGTGTTAAATAAGGCAAAACGCATTGTCTCAGATATAGAAGTAAGGTTAGAAGAAGGTGAATCAATTTTAAGTAGTAGGGTAGCACGATTAGGGCAAACTGAAGCAGCTTCTGACTCGGCTGAGAGTTCTGATAGCTCCGATAGTGTTAATTCTGCGGGCGTAAATTTTAAAATGACAGAAAAATTCGATTTAAAAACAGCGGCTAGTTTGCTGCCTGTTATGGACGGTTCGGAGAGAGTTACAAAGCAATTAATCGACGGCATTGAGATGTATGATAGTATGCTGGACGATAACGGGAAAAAACTTTTAACTACTTACATTCTAAAGACGCGTTTATCGGAAAGTGCGAAAATTCGGTTGAAATCCAGCTACGCGACAAATTGTCTTTTAATCGCAGATATAAGAAATTATTTACTAACAAAAAAGTCTCCAGCGTCATTATCGGTTCAGTTGAGTAGAGCAAAACAGTACTCCAAATCTGTGGAGGAATTTGGAAGATCGATCGAGGAACTATTAGTAGACCTGACGATAACTCAGGCCGATGGCAACCGACAGGCATTAGAAATTTTAAGACAATCCAATGAAAAAATTGCTATAAACGCTTTCGCAAACGGATTAGAAAATTTTGAGTTAAGAACAGTAATAAAAGCTAGGAACTATGAAAAATTAAGTGACGCGATAAGAGGCGCGACGGATGAAGAAACACCAAAATCGGAAACATCATGTCAAATACACCGTTTACATAAACAAAATTATAATTGGAATTACAATCGCGGTAATCATACCTTCAGAGGTACAACAAATAATTTCAGAGGTAAAGCCAATAATTTTAGAGGTACAACAAATAACTTTAGAGGGACAAATAATTTCAGAGGTCCAACAAATAATTTTAGAGGTACAACAAGAAATTTCAGAGGTTCAACAAGTAATTTTAGAGGATCAGCAAATAACTTCAGAGGTCATGATAGAAGGTACACTAGAGATAATAGTAGGCGGAATCAATCAGCGTTTCGTATGAATGCATCAGCTGAACGAGAAGTTGAAAGAGAAAATTCGGAAAGTCAGTTTTTTCGAGTCTAAAATTGTTGACAGTGAAGCTAATGATACCATAGTGTTAAGTATGAATGCAGTGAACTTTGTGCGAGTAAATTATCGCGGGAAAGAACTAAAATTTTTGCTAGATACAGGTGCAACAGTTAGTGTAATTTTTCAAAATTCTATTGCGCAAGATGAGGTTATTGATCAAACACGGAAAATTAAAATACACGGTATTGCTGGTTCGACAGTTTCGCAAGGTTCGGTACAATTATTGCTTAGTTTTAATAATGTTGAAATGCAACAGGAATTTTTGTTGATGAGGGAGTTTGAATGTGGAATGAATGGTGTAATCGGTGCTGACTTTTTCATAAAACATGATGCAATTATCAATTACGAAAAGAATGAATTTTCCTTTTGGAGTAATGACCGGAAAATTTTTATTCCAATTGAATCGCAATGCGAATTTTATACAGAAATTCCAAGCAGATGCGAAATTATCAAATATTGTTATGTCGAGAATAATGACGACTATGTGGTCCTTCCTGATGAAATATGCGAAGGAGTTTACATAGCCGGAAGTATAGTCTGCGCTAGAGATAACTTGATACCTGTGAAAATATTAAACGTTAGAGACGGTAATGTTAAACTGAAAAATTTTCGACCGAAATTAGAGAAAGCAACCAATTATCACATTTGTGAAGCAAAAGAAACTATGCAATCGGTTTCGCGAGTTGACAAATTATTGAAGTTGTTAAAAACTGACGACTTAAATAATGAAGAAAAAATCTCTATTCAAAAAATTTGTGCCAAATATTCCGATGTATTTTTGTTAGAAGGTGATGAACTGACAGTTACTAATATTTATAAACAAAGCATAAGGTTACAAAGTAATGCGACTCCAGTTTACACTAAGCCGTATCGGTTACCACATGCACAAAAAGACGAAATACATCAACAGGTCGGTAAAATGTTAAAAGACGGAATTATCGAAGAAGCTAGGTCAGAATGGTCCGCCCCTTTGCTAATCGTACCTAAAAAATCCGCAGATAATTGTATCAAGAAATGGAGAATAGTCATTGATTATCGGAAATTAAATAAACAAATTCAAGATGAGAAATTCCCATTACCTTGCATTACAGAAATTTTGGATTCTTTGTCTGGTGCAATGTATTTTTCACATCTTGATTTATCACAAGGTTATTATCAAATTGAACTAGATGAGGCAAGTCGTCCTTGTACCGCGTTTCTTACAAACCAAGGGCAATATCAGATGAAACGACTGCCGATGGGTCTTAAAATTAGTCCATCTGCGTTTTCACGAGCAATGACAATCGCAATGGCGGGATTAAATTACACTAGTTGTCTCGTCTATATGGATGATATTGTAATTTTTGGGAACAACCTACTAAATCATAATAAAAATCTAGTTAAAGTTTTGGGAAGATTAAGACAAGTAAAATTACGGATTAATCCAAATAAATGCGAATTCCTAAAGAAAGAAATTTTATACTTAGGTCATGTAATCTCAGCAACCGGAATTTCCCCGGATCCCGAAAAAATTCGTGTTATTCAAAATTATCCGGTGCCAAAGGATGCGAAAGAAACGAAAAGATTTGTAGCTTTTGCGAATTATTATCGACGATACATAAAAAATTTTGCATACATAGCAGTTCCGTTAAATAGGTTAGCAAAGAAAGGTGTAAAGTTCGAATGGAACGATGACTGTCAGAAAGCTTTTGAAACATTAAAAAACAGTTTGATGACCCCACCAATTTTAGAATATCCAAATTTTTCAAAGGAAAATATTTTTAATTTAAAAACAGACGCATCGGGTTCAGCGATAGGTGCAGTATTAACAAATGCAAGTGACAAACCTGTGGCATATGCCAGTAGAACGCTCAATAAAGGAGAAAAAAATTACTGTACCATTGAGAAAGAACTTTTGGCAATAGTTTGGGGTGTTAAATACTTTCGACCGTATTTGTACGGGAGAAAATTCATTATTCAGACAGATCACAGACCCTTAGTATATCTTTTCGGAATGACAAATCCTTCCAGTAGGTTGACGAAATTTAGGTTAATTTTGGAAGAGTACGATTTTGATGTTGTATATATAAAAGGTAAAGATAATGTAACAGCGGATGCCTTATCAAGAATAGAAATTAGTTCTAGTGAAATCAAATCAATGAGTCACCGAGTTTTTTGTACAATGAATGTATTAACAAGAGCGCAAAGTAAAGCTGAAAGTAAGACCTGCGAGAACAGTGAATCAGTTTCATCCGAAAGGACTGATCACCCTGGCGTGGTGGAATTGATAAAACAACCTGAAAATTTGTTCGAGTTGCGTCCTATTTATAAAACCGAATTTGACAAAATACTTGCAAGTAAAACAAAAATGTCCAACACGTGTTCTATTTATAAAAGTCATAATTTAATTGTCGACAATGAATCAGATGTTATTTATATGAAATGGGATATTCGATCGGCGTCAGCACTAAGTGAGACGTTGAGAGTACTCAAAGATATTGTTATGAAATATAAGATTCCGGAACTAGTAGTAATTAAAAATAAAAGAGATGCATCATCATCATTTCTGCGTGAAATAATGACTAGAGTTAATGAAGTAAGGTTCAGAGATTTAAAAATAAGCGTAATTAAAGACGTTCAAAGAATAGATGACTTAGAAGCGAGACAAATAATTCTTAACGACTTTCATATATTGCCTACAGGAGGTCACGCCGGTATAAACCGAATGTATAACAATATAAGGAAGTATTTTTTTTGGACAAAATTACGGAAAGACGTTGAGGAATTTGTAAAGAAATGCGATTCTTGTCAGAGGTATAAGCATGGGAAACACAATTTAGAACCAATGGCGATTACAACAACAGCCTATTCGGCATTTCAAAAAATCTTTTTAGATATAGTAGGACCTTTAGAGCAAGACGTTCAAAATAATCGGTACATATTAACAATACAGTGTGAATTGAGTAAGTTTGTTGAAGCGTATCCAATACCAAATAAAGAAGCCGTTACCGTAGCAGAATCATTCGTTCAAAATTTTATTTTAAGGTATGGTATTCCACAAGAAATTGTTACAGATCAAGGTACAGAATTCTTATCGTCAACTTTCAAAGAGGCTTGTAAAGTATTAGGAATAAAACAATTGAATTCGACAGCGTATCACCACGAAACGTTAGGTGCGTTAGAAAATTCCCACAAACACTTAGGTGCGTATCTAAGAATACAAGTGGCAAAACATCCAAATAGTTGGAGTTCATGGGTTTCATTCTGGTGTTTTTCGTACAACAATAGCGTGCATAGCGAAACACGGTACACACCGTTCGAGTTAGTATTTGGACAAACGTGTCGACTGCCATCGAATGTGCTTACTCGGACGGATCCTCTGTATAGTTTCGACGATTATCCATT